TTTCCTGTGCCGTTTTCAACACTCGCCATTGGTGCTGTTGGCTCCACGACTATGTTTTCAAGGTCGTTACGTTCCAAGTCGTTTTCGTTGCTAGGTTGGGAAGCAGAAAGCGTTCCATACTGTTCAATGGCTTTTTGGAGCTTCATAACATCTTTCTGGTGCTGACAGTAAGAGCCCCCTAGAATAATACGCTGGTATAATTTCTGTGTTTGTCGAGTAACTTGCAACTACAAATTGCAAAATTAGTTGGTCCTGCCACCTACAATTCGCCCATTTTGAATCTTCAAACTTACCCAGGTTGTGCCTAAAGGCCATATCTGAGCGAAGTCGTGGAGATATTGTAGATCTTGGTCCACTAGCTTCTCAGCGTCTAATCGTGCACTTGACCTTGGATCAGCCCATGGAAACGCGGCAAGGAAAACATGCATGCTTGCTGCAGAGAATACACTATACCCTACGATGGGTGTATGTAATGATATGCCTGCAGACTTCAGATCCTCTATAAGGTTAGTTATTTGAGTGGCTGCATCGAACAGTATGGCCGTGTATTCGTTCCACCAACCCGCAGGAGCCACTTGCGTTAAAAACGGCGGTTCGACAGGGCCTTGAATTTCTGAAAGATACAAAGGGATGAATGGTAGGTATTCTCGATAGAGAATTAGCACACTGAATGATAAACATTCGTTAGTGGGAACGCTTGGTAATAAGAGGGGTGAAAGGTGGGATTTTAACGTGCCTGAGGTAATGGATCAGATTCAAATATACGAACCGCTCTGCTTCTCTTCTGTGAATGTATAGAGATATTGGCGTTTGCGGATATTGCAGTCGGTCATGTAACAATTTTCGCCACTCTATCAGCTCAGTCTTGATTCGATGCCACGGTGATTCTGCCTGCCATGGACACGTTCCAAGTGCAGACCCTTGGCGGCGCCCGCCGCCGGTTACCCACTTACACGCATGAGCAAAAATATCCATGCTTCGTATTGTCACCGTATAGTAATCACCTATTGTGAATGTCTTATCAGGGCGACCGAGGTTCCGCTCTACGAGCTGTGAGTACACGAGGGGCTCCGACGTTGGTGTTCCCAGATCAAAGTCGTCTTCGGTCGCAGGTAGATATAATGTCATTTCCTTCGTATCAAGCGTCGCCGGACGGCCTTTGCCACAGCTCATCGCGCGATCCATAATGAAGCAAGCCCAGATGGAGCGTCGCTGAATCTCACGTTGCCAGACTGTCTCTCGGCTTTGATCGCTCTGTGAGATATTTTCTTCAGACAGCAGTGATGTTTCTGATCTTGCTTGCAAACCCTGAACCATACGAGTTGCCATACCTGGAATACATCAAATCGAGAATTAGTGAGCTAATGTATCAACAGATATTTTTTCAAGCGGAGATACTGACCAGTGTACATCCATGTCGCAAAGCCATTGCCCTCACCCCATTCATACTGCGCGATGAGAAGCAGACAATGAATCACCTCCATGTCTGGTTCACGCAAAATATGTGGCCATATATTCTGCTGAACGAATGCGGCATACTGTTGACTTACCGCACATGGACTCTGGCCCTGTAGTGGCGATGATTCAATCAGCCGAACGCACAGAGCAAAGATGGCAGCAAGCTTGATAACCAGAATACGCTTTGGTGATGTCCGCAGCTGTTGGGTGAAATCGGCTAAGTGTATGAAACTCAACTCAGGGAACTTTCTTGTGAAGGCATCAGCAACCTCGGTAATCATATGGTCAGCAACATGACGAAATAGTGGTTCGTCTTTGTATGAATAGGCGGGATAGCCTCTCCGTTGAGTATGGCTTGCTTTCGCAACCTCAGAAGCACTGTTATCGGCGGTGCTGGAACTCGTGCGGTTCGCATAAGCTCTGAGGATCTGTCGGCGAGGGCTTCTAGACTTGGGTGGGAGCTGCTCAAGGACACACTGATCGCGGGTGCGTCCTGCTCGTACACAAAGCCTACATGGCTTGTCGCCATCATGCTGCGAGCATTTGACTTTTGATTTCCTGTTCGTAAGCTGTTGTCAATGTTTCCAGTCATTGCTCAGGAAGGAAAATAGCTACCGGCACCATCGACATGAGAGCGTGGATCGCATTGTTGATGTGAGGTATAGCTTCCATACGCAGTTTAAAAAAAGCACTTCAATCGATCAAATCATTCATTCGCCAGTCCTAACGTTTTCCAGGACGAGACGGTATAATTATCGCATATGGCTCGCTATGAGTGAGAGGAGAGGGACGGACGTTAGTCGTACGTGGTGTATCCATGTCATATTATATGCCGTTATCGCTGACGTGCTAGTTCTTTTTTAGTGTGTGGGTCCAGACTAGGTCGCTACTAACATCCTGGAAGGGTCACCAAAATTGCGGGGAAAGCAAAGTTCAAACGACCACGCGATAACAAGTTTACGTACATAGTAAGTAGAGGCCCCTAGTTAGCGTGAATATTAATAATGTTCGCACTCTTCTACCTTGGTAGAACAAAATATCAAAACTAGGTATAGTAGATAGTAAGAGAGTTTCTAACTTTATCAATTAATACTTTTCCATATTTATATGTACTTTGCTACTACTACTAGGTTAGAGATGCTATTCGCGGCATTAGGTGGTCTTAGCCTTTCTGTATGTGGACTCTGGAAAGGTTAATTGCACTACTCTGCATCCTGTTCTTAGACTAATGTAACGTTAAAGAAGCTTGGTTGAGTTTACTGCGATATGAACGACAATAATGACTTTTATTGATGAACTATAAAAATAGTCATGATTGTAACTTGAACGCCTCTTTTAGTTCGTCGAATCGATCATCTTGACCTATAAGTCTGAGAAGATGCACCCGCAATCTTCATTATTGTTAGGTAGCTTCTGTCACATTTTTGACAGCGTATTTTCTAAGACTAGAATCTCCGGATATCGTGCCAAAAATTGCTCCACGGATCTATAAAATCGGTCGAGTTCAGGCTGAGGTGTGCACAGCATGATGGCTATGGATCCTCGTCGTGCGGTCCAAAATCCGCATTCCATCATCTCCAACCAAAACAGTTCTTTCAATGACTCATTCTCTTTAAGATCAGCAATTGACCTAATGTTGGTGTGCCCTGTCGGCAGGAAATGCACAGCGAGAAGCGAACCGCGTCCTGTCCAAACACACTGCGTACCTTTGCAGAGCTCCTGGAGGCGTCTCAGCAGAGTTTCGCCGTTGCGATTGAAAGCAACTGCCTTTTCCGGTGTGTAAACACGGGAAAGACCGGTAAACCCGGCTCGCATTACCAGTGTGTTGTTGTTAAACGTGCCTGAATGGGGTAGCGCTGTTGGACTACGAGGGTCAAAAGCACTCATGATCTCTCTTCTACCGCCGAGAGCCCCAAAAGCTAGGCCACCTCCAAGATACTTTCCAAGAGTCGTTATATCTGGTTTGAGCGATGATATGCTTTGTAGACCCCCTGGAGCGAGTCGTGAAGTCAATACTTCGTCAAGAATAAAGACAGCGCCGACCTAGGATTTCAAGCATACGTTAATCACTGACCCGACCTTCCAGGCCATAGAAGGAGTACTTACCTTGCGAGCTGAGGCCTCCACAGCGTGTAAGAAGGCTTCGCCGCCGAGAATATTACCAGATGCACCTTGCATACCTTCAATGATTACTGCAGCGACATCTGAGCTACCTTCGATAGCACTAGTCGCAGCTTCGATATTATTGTACTCAGCGATCATGAAATCCATATCGTTGATCGTATTCATTGCTGGTTTTTCTCGGAAACATAAAACTCCACCATGATATCCACCCGTGAAGGCAACAAATTTTCGTTTCTTCGTGAATGCCCGGGCCAGCATTAAGGCGTGGATGTTTGCTTCGGTCCCAGAATTGCAAAACCGGACATTCTCTAAATTGAATCTAGAGCACAATAGGGAGGCATACTCGACTTCATGTTGTGTATGTGCGCCCAAATTCAATCCAGTATCTGTAAGTGTCGCTCGTATAGCATCGTGGATGAGGGGTTCCGAATGTCCATAAAGACCAGCCGAGAATTCGCCAACTAGGTCTGTGTATCTAAACAACCCGTTAAACCGTAAAACCATTTGTCACAGGTAGGAGTCTCTTACTTGTGCCCATCTTCATCTGTAAGGACCGAGTCTTGTCCAGACACCATACTCAGGGGGAACGGCGCCGAATACAAGACTGTCCGCGAATTGCCTCCAGGAAGGTGTTCCAGGGCTTTTTGATGCAACGAGGAGGATACGGGATTGGCGGCAACATATCGCTTGCGAGCTTCAAGAAGAGCTGCTTCGGCTCTTTTCATTTGACCACATCTCAATGGGGCCATTGAATGCACAGGTTGGAGCTTAGAAAATGACAATTCCTCTTCTGCAAGAGTGCCCATTGTTAGTAGTGATTAGTTTGTCGCAAGAATCTAGAGTACGCAGCTCAAAGCATATAAAAGGTAAAATGCGCTAACGCGAGAATTCGCAATCTTCATGCAATCTGACTGTTGAAAGCCGTCACACCCAGTTGCAACCGCTTTTGCACTATTCCAACCACAGATAGGGAGCTTCGGCTCGGCACTTTTCGCGACTAGTTCCCCGCACAGGGTCTGTCAATGTGGGGAAGACTAGACTAAGGTGGTGTCAAACTAGAAAGAATGGCACTATTGGACATTTCAGTATTCCTAGCCTCGGAATGTCGGGATCAATGGTGGAGCCAGATATTCCGAATCCTATCCCGAAGTCTAACGCGACCGCTGAATGGCACAACGCCTGCCCAATAAATTTTATAGCTTGTGCGCATGTTTTACACATTCGCGTTGAATTAGTTACAGATCGAACTTCGTTCATTTTGCTGTCGTGAAGATGATCTTTATGCAGGGGTTAAGATCACAAGACGCAGAATTAGCTACAATATAATACAGCACGAATGCCGGATTTGATCTACTTTTTGCTTACATGGGAACTATGCATGAATTTTCGATAAGAAAAATGAATATCTATAAGATTGAGCTGGGAAATGAACTGATAGGAACTCATGCATGTTTCAGATCGGGAAACGTAGAGTTCAGCAAGCTCGCCAATGACAGAGATTGAAGACCTATCTTATCTATAGCTGTAGTATCATGGATTACTCCTCTATATATAGTAGCTCCACCTCCTTGTCGACTTCGCAGTATGCTTCCTTCAGGACATTGACCACTTTTTCGAGCTCATCAACACTTATGTTGTACGGTGGAGCAAGAAGAATGTGATCACTCTCGGTTCCTTCTGAGTTCATCGGGCCTGGATAGACTGCAACTCCTTTCTCAAAAGCAAGACGTTGTACTCTCGAAGCAAACCTTAGGCTTGGCCGTAGTCGCGTCTTGCTACTCCTCTCGGCGACAAATTCCAGAGCATAGAACAACCCTCGTCCTCGTATGTCACCTACAAATCTGCGACCCTGAAAGGCGTGACGTAACAGGTTGCCTAACAATAGTCCCATCTCAGCGCATCGTTGAACTAGTTGATCCCGCTGAATGATCTGTTGCACGGCGAGAGCTGTTGCGCAAGATACGGGATGTGCTTGATATGTATGACCATGGTTGAAGGATGCGGTGCCCCGCCTAAGCACATCCATCACCTTTTTGCTGATCAGCACACCAGCAATGGGTGCGAAGCCGCCGCCGAGCCCTTTGCCGATCGTCACGATATCAGGTAGGATGTTTTCCTGTTCGAAGGCAAAATATGTCCCGGTCCGACCCATTCCGCACATGACTTCGTCGAGGATGAGGAGTATGCCGTAAGAATCGCACAATTTTTGAACAGCGGCAAAATAGCCATTCGGCGGAGCGACGCAGCCCGAAGTAGCACCCACAACAGTCTCGGCGAAGAATGCAATCACATTGTGAGGTCCGATTCGCTGAAACTCGGCATTGAGTTCTTCTACAAGATAGGCAACATGGGCTTCTTCTGAGTCATCCTTCAGTGGGGAGCGATATGGATATGCTGGTGAGACATAGGATACACTCGGTAATGTGATCGCGCCGTCATAAGGAACCTTCCGTGAAATATTCGTGGATAGCGACATCGATGCGATAGTATTTCCATGATACGCCAATCGTCTACTCACGAAGTGAGTTCGCTGTGTCTGTTTTTGCTCCCAGAAGTACTGTCGCGCGAGCTTCATAGCTGCCTCATTGGCCTCGCTGCCGCTGCCAACGAAGTATGCCTTCTCTAACCCATGATTCTTGGATCCAGATAGGATACACTCGGTCAGGTCCTCAGCTGAACTGGTTGTGTAGAAACCAGTATGAACATATGATACCTTGTTCATCTGTGCCACTGTAGCTGCCGTCACTTCTTGATTCCCATGCCCTAAAACCGCTACAGCTGCACCGCCACAAGCATCGAGAATCTTGCGCCCATCTGACAGGGTCAGATAGCATCCAGAGGCATATGTGACTCTATGTGGGTGTTCGGTCAACGATCGGTGGAGCAGTGCCGAATTGTTCTCACGGTTCGATAAAGTCGCCGGAATCGCGCTTGACGCTGAGGGTTTAGGAGTGCTCGTTGTCGACTGACCGGATTTTGCAAGGAGACCGGGCGCCATGAGGGAAGCTGATTTCTGCACCGCCACAGAGAAAATGTAATCAGAGTATGATAGTATGATATTGGTAAGGTCCGATCATGTGGAGTACTTGATATCCTTGCGTGGGCAAAGTAGTCGACCAGTACAACACTTATTTTGGGGCATAGACGTCCAATATTGTTTGCAATAGTATTGCAAACCACTTGTTATATATTTCTGTAGATATGAGCGAAACGAGGAGTGGAGACAGGATTTCTCGAGACTCGCAAGGACGACGGATTTTGGTGGGCAATTTGGGACATCTTCCGTACAAGCCTTACTACCGGGTTGGAAGGTGAGCCACTAGCTAGCGTTGGAGCCTTGTCTTTCGGCATGCAAGATACTGTTAGGACGCCTAAGCCGACGACCATCCCGACACTACTTACTTCCCGAGACGTACAAATGAGTTATGCTTGGTTGATTAACTGCATAAGTGCAACGCCCTATAAAACTCACGAAACTTTGTTGCGCTATTCTAATTCGCTATTTTCGGTTTATTTTGCAACATTATACTTATCTTCATTACGTCATCTCATTTAGCAAATATGACTGCTTTCATCTATCGATCTCCTTTGCCTGATATCGAACTTGTAAACACAGATTTGGTTTCGTATCTGTGTTCAAATCCCTACAATTCGCCTGATGGCAGATCAGTCTTCGTCGATGCCTTGACCGGAGAGAGTCGCACATACAAAAACGTCATACAACGTACAAAACCAGTTGCTCATGGTTTGAGAAAGCTCGGCGTGAAACCTGGCGATGTTGTCGCAATACTCAGTCCCAACTCGATCGAATTCCCAGTCCTATGCTTCGCAATTCTCAGCTGCGATGCTACAGTCTGTCCCATGGAGAGGTTCGCGGCCAAATCTTGACCAGTCAAGCCAAGTTTATCATCGCTCATTCGTCTTTCCTGGACACCGCAAGAAAAGCCGTACAAGATACACAGGTTAAAGGTATCATCCAAGCTGATGGTGCGAAGGTCTTGCCGGGCTGTATCATGTCTGTAGAAAGGCTTGCAGCCACCCATCCTGCTACGGATTTGGTACGGACCCCGCTGAACTTCTAAGTGAGCGTCCTGCCTTCATCTGCTTCTCCTCAGGTATCCCTGGGGCTGCCAAAGGAGTTATCATTACACACCAAAACATGACAGCAAACTTGCAACAATGGGAGATAGTTTATTATCATGGCGTCTCACCTAGTCCAGCTATAATCGCATTCGTGCCGTTCGATCCTATCTATGGGATAAATGTCTTCGTTTGTGGCGGGTTTCTGCGTGGCCAGACGACGGTAGTGCTCTCGCGATTCGACCGAGAGGTGTATCTACATAGTATCCAATGCTACAAGCCAGTGGAGCCACACTTGGTTCCTCCAATCGCTCTGCTACTCGTCAACGACATCATGGTTGAACTTAACGATATTAGCGGTATCAAGAGAATACTTTCTGCCGCTGTGCCAATGAGTACTGAGCTCGCGACGACTTTTGAGAGACGCTTCAATGACCGCTATGGAACAGTTGTTCACTATCACCAATCTTTGGGGTCGACCGAGACGAGCCCGCTTGCAATGGGTGTCCTTCCCACTAAAATGGAAAAGCAGCAAACTGTCGGGTGCATTGCACATAATATGGAGTTTCGATTTGTGAATCCCGAAACAATGGAGGACGTACCGCAGGGCAACCCGGACAGCGAGCTGAAGCCAGCCGAAATTCTGTGTCGTGGTCCTAACGTGACAAAAGGCTACTTCCACAACGCAGAAGCGACACAGGGTGCTTTTTACACCGACGCCCAAGGCTACCAGTGGCTGAGAACTAGCGATATTGCTGTTATGGACAAGGATGGTTATATTATAATCCATGATCGCATCAAGGGGATGATCAAATACAAGGGTCTGCAAGTGATACCAAGTGAATTGGAAGGCAAGTTGCAGGAGCATCCAGACATTGTGGATTGTGGCGTCACAGCGTTGTTTGACGAAGCGCAAGCCACAGAGTTACCGGTCGCATTTGTTGTGCTGAAACACGAGGCAAAGCAGGACCAGCCTGAGCTTGTGAAGAAGAGAATTCATCAGTGGTTGAATGCTAAAGTCGCGAACCACAAAAAGCTTCGTGGCGGAATTGAATTCGTCAGCACTATTCCCAAAAGTCCAAGTGGTAAAATTCTGCGCCGAGAGCTTCGAGAAGCCTTAAAGTTAAAGAAAACTAATGCTAAATTATAGTAGTCAGATAGCTTATGCAACTACTAAGAAGAGATAGTATATTAAGTTTTCTTTAGAACACTGGAAGTCTTTTACTATATTATGAAGAACTTGAATTCCTTTTTTTCTTTGATTTAGAGTAACTTCTAGACATTAAAAAAACTATATATTGTGTATAAACGTATTCTATGCTAATACTACCACTGTAGTCGCTTATAAAAGACTTACTAAAATACCTAAACTATTAAGAGAGAAAAAGAGAGATATTGAAGTAAAGTAATCGATTACTAGCTTTTAGTATCTAATATATACAGTATTCTTGGGAACACGTAGGATAGATACAGCTCTTTTATAGTAGCTAGTCTTACTCTTGTAATTCAACAACAGGCCCATGGAACTACTTTCTAGCATAGAATATCCAATTGAGCCATAGAATGATAGCTCCAATAGCAGTAACAACAGGGGCATAGTCTGAAGGCTTTTTTAGGCTTTTGTTTTTGATGAAAGCGGATGTGGATAGTCAATAACGCGCATGGCACATACTCATGGTAGATGGGGTAACTGGCACAGCTGCCGGAAACATGAAGAAGATACAGACGAGGATTTTCCAGCATATCCCAACGGAATTGCAGAGATAGCCGACTGGATGGGGGAGACGGAATGCCCTGTTGTGGGGTAAGAAGGATGGGGATCGCTTTCGCCAAACGAGTAAGGCTGTGAGAATGGCGAAGGAGAATTGAAGTAGCTTGATTGCCAGACCAAGGAATGAGTTGAAGGCTAGGAGAAGGAAACAAAGGTTTTTTTAGAATCATGGATATAAGGATGAGTCGAGGTGATGGCTACAAACCCGTAGTAGAGGCCAAAAATAGTAATCCAAGAATGGCAACATTAGTCGCGTTAGCAAGAAGTGACCATACAGAAACTTAAAGCCTCGCATTTACTCTAGCAAAGGTATTTCGAACCATAAAAGGCATTGTCTCGTCCCATTGCCTGCATCAGGCGAGAGGTCGTATTGACGGTACCAATGCACACAATCAAGTCAATGATTAGGGTCAGCACCAGGAATGCTGTGGCAGCGGCAGGCGATCGGGTTGCTTCAATCCGCAGTTGATAGATGGGAATACTTCATCCTGTTAGCAAGAAGTGCCGACAGTGAGCCGCTGCTATTGTCATCTTTTGCCGGCTCCTTCCATGAGGCCATTTTGGTTTCAGGGTTGAATTTGGCGACCCTAGATGCTTGAAACGTGAGCCATGAATCATTTCTCAGGCAGGCTATAAAACAACAAACATTTTTTTCCCTCTTGCATTACCATTTTGTTTAAGCATTTTGGCAGTGTAGAAAAAAAATGTAGCGGTATAATTTTCTTAAGGGCAATGCAGATTTCGGCTCTATTAAGATATCCTTATCTACTCTAGGTAACTATACTGATTGCACTAACTGTCCTCGAGGTCAATGGTCTAAAAGTGCGGGGTCAGATGCTCGCAATATCGGTATCTTTTTCCACACTTGAATCGGTTGCTACCATCATTCCGAAGCCTATCGCGATCGGCATGCTCCTGGGTGCACCGGAATGTCCTTAACAACAACAGGATATTTCCATAATTCCCTGTCCAATCGTTGTTGCACTATTGCTGATATTCACGGCAGTATGTCAGCTTGACTAGGTGATTCACTTGGGCGATTTCCAGCAGCGATGGGCATCCGACTCAATTTTTCGGCGAGCAGACAAAACGACTCAACAGATTGGCTGTATGTATTTCGTAGTTCAACAAAGGTGTACTTGGTTCGGAAAGTTTCTATGCGACATGTGACGAGATGTTCTTGCAAGAATCTGGTAGCTTCTGACTGAACTCTGCCAAGGTAATCGACATTACTACTATGCATGTGTCATTATCTACTAAACTTATCTAGATCAATTCTAAATAGCCCATCTAATAGCGCACGTTGAAGCCACTCTCATCGGACTTTGTGGCAATGTCGGAGTGGTCGACTTTGGAGACGGATGAGGCTGGTGGACCCTTATGCAGGTGCTGGACGAAGTCGTTGAGCTTGTCGTCGGTGGCCTGAGCTTCGCCCTGGACCTGAAAAGGGTTAGCGCGGGTGAGGTGTGGCGGCCATGGTAATGGCATTGAGAGTGCATACGCTTCCGTCTGATGCATTGGTCACGAAGCCCGTCACACCAAGACTCCGGGCGGTCTTCTGGGTGAAGGACCTGAAATTGACACCCTGTACACGGCCCTCGACCTTGTACTGGATCTGTGCAAAGTCATTAGCTTCTGCCACGACAGCAGCCACTTGGCATGACAGCAACGGACGTGACGCACTCGCTTGGCTGACATTGTGTGTTAATGCGTGTGCTTGGATGGGGGGCGGCGGAGAGGGGCACGGCAGCGCTCCAAGTACAGTGCAACGAGTTTGTTGTTATGGACAGGGAGAAGAGTACAGCTATGCAACAAGACAAGACACACGAGGGCCAGTCAAGCCACTGATGGGCCAGGCACAATGCAGCAAGGCGACGTCATCGCAACTGGCGAAACTTAGACGCTACTGCTACTGCTACTACTGCTACTGCTACTGCTGCTGCTGCTGCTGCTACCAGAGTGACGTTGGGGGAGGCACCCCTGCGACGTCGCGGATGGTGGACGGGTGCGGGGCCAGAGGGAGAGCTCCTTTGCTGGGAAGATGGATGCAGACACAGGCAGAGACGGAGCTAGGAGGGTAGCCTCAGCCGCCGCAAGGGGCCAGCGCGGGTCAACGGGCGAATTTCTTTTTTTTTGCCCACATGTCCAAAGTATGTACCGTACAGTCAGCGCCGTGTTGCTCGCGCTCGCAACCGCAATGTGTTCACGGCTGCCGGAAATTACTCGCCGCGAGGGAGCACTGGGCGGTGGTGACGCTAGTCTCGCGTTGTTTTCGGATACAATCTCGCGTCGCTCCCCAGTCGATGAAACCTCTAATCAAACGCCCCCCCTTTCGCCCCAGAGTCACATAGCAACAACCGCACTTCGCCCAGGTGGCTCCGCAAACAACTGCGAGTCCTTGAAAACCGCCCTCACGCTCCGTAAATGCCGAGGATTCGTACAAAGCACCGAATCTCTCTGCTGATAAGGAGTCTGACGACTGCCACGGCTTTGCACCTTCCCCCCTTGTCAACCACAATGGACACGACATCCACCTCGCCGCCCCAACGCTCGACGTCGCCTGACCCATGGGCTACCCCCTCTCTCGCCATCGGCGCCATCCCGCCCCTCGACCGCTCCGTCTCGACCGCTTCATCGGTCTCGTCAGTTTCCGGACGCTCGGCAGGCTCCCGGCTGTCCGATGGCGGCAGGCGGCGTGGATACATGAGGCCTGAGGGCACCGAGTTCTCCGAGTCTGCAAAGAGCAGAGAGAGCGTCATGAACCTCGGCACCATTGCCCATCTGCAATACTACTTCGCCAGAACTGGTCTGCTTGACACCGCCACAGGACGAATAGCAAAAGGCCGCAAGCCCGGATCGCGAACAGCGAGCGGCAACGAGCCACTCTCGCCGGGGCTCGACGCAGACTTTGGTATATTGTCGCCTGGATCACCAATGAGCGAGCATCACATGGGCGAGGGTTTCGTCGAGTCACCGCTTGACGAGACGCCTTCCATGACCTGGGAGGACCCTGAGCCCATGATGCTCCCGCCTACCGTTAGCACATACAAGAACAACCCCATCTACGTACCCCCGCCACCTGATATGACAGTGCTTCGTCGCGAACTACGCGAGTCGCTCGCCGAATCCATGAAGCATCTGCACGAGCTCGAGAAGGGTTTCTCTGATATTCAGCCAGACGGAAAGACAGCAAAGAACGGTGGTGCTGACGCGTCGGGATGGCACGAAGTTCAGGGCTTGAACTTGCTGGATGTCACGACGCTGGCCATCAGGGCTGCCAAAAACTACTACACTGCACACGAAGAGCCACAGCGACTTTACGCCATCAAGTCGGAACGTGAGATTCGCAAGGAGCTGTACGATACACTCGAGGTGCTGAAGCGCCTGGCCATTCGCAACTTTGGAAACGGTGTTCAGCCATACGAAGTAACTCAACTCAAACAGTGGGTTGACGACATCAGCGCGCTTCTAGATACGGAAGAAGAGAAGGAACGTGAAGAGCAGGAGGCGCGTGAAACGTGGTCGTGGCGCGATGGCGACTGGACGGGCAAGGAGCGGGAGCGAGAAGTTCTCTTTCTCCGATCGTTTGACGAGACGAGCGCCGAAGCTCTTCCAGAGTGGACAGCCCCTACAGACTCGGAACTCCCGACGCCCTTCCTTGCTACACTCCAAGACGGACTGAGACTGGTGCGCCTGCACAACACGCTAGTGCGAAGATCGAAACGACACTTTGAGCAGATTAAGACGTACCACACGGACACAACCAAGCCATACCGCTGCGCCGACAACTTGCGCTACTGGGTCAAAGCGGCAGAGCTGCGCTGGGACATCAAGCTCGATGTCGACGTCATGGGCGTGGTGCAGGGCAAGGATGCCGAAGCATGGCGAAAGTTTGACGCAGCTATTCTACAATGGAGCCAAGGGGTGCGTGAGGAAATCACGCTTGAGTGGATGAAGCAGAAGAACCAGGCGAGGACACCTACACTACAGATCGACCCAAGCTATGAGGCGCTGTGAAGTGGCCAGATGATGGCAAATGCAAGGGCTGGTTCGCCGATTTCTTTCGCTGTTTATGTTTTTTTTGCAAAGTATCATCCTTTTGTAATTTGCACGATGATTACGTCTTCAGACTCTCAACTCTTGTCGGCAGATGTCTTACTAGTAGTTTACCCTTTTTTCTTTTGTCTTTTCGGGAGAAAGCCCTGGATGGAAGCTGGGCTCCCTTAGTATCATTCGGCTCAGAGGGCGCTGGATGGCTGGCGACTTGAGATAGATACCCCTTTTTTGGATCAGCGGCTTGCAGTCAGATGTTGTATGAAATGGAGTCTCGTTGAGAATGAAAGGTGGTGCCAGGGTGTGTGTGTGTAAGAGAGAGAGAGAGAGAGTGTGTGTGTGTGTGTGTGTAAGAGAGAGAGAGAGAGTGTGTGTGTGTGTATGTACTATGTAATGTCTATGTAGGGTTATACGGAGATGTATCATTGGTAATAATATTTGTTGTCGTAGGAGGAGGGGAATAGAATAGTAGTAGTCATCTGAAAAGGGGGGCGGGCCCATGGTCCAGACGTGTCTACGTGCCAGATGTGCAATGTGCTGCTTCACGTGGTTGCAGGGGCGCATTTGTGTACAATGTGTATGTACAATGTGGGTACATGTGTACAGGTCGTATGTGTGCACAAGGCGGGCTTGGGGCGCATAGTGAAGTCATGTGCTCGTATATCCAAAGCATACATAACCACTGCACACGCTCGACGGCCGACCGAGCGCCTCTTTAGCGTTGCAGAGTGGAGGGGCTGGGCGCATTGACAGCATTGCGCGCAGGGGGCTTGCTGGCGGAAATTGAGCATAGCGGCACTCGGTGTCTCAAAGGCGGGATGCTGTGAACTGTCCTGATTGCTGGGGGAACGTGTCGTCCAGGCGTGGCTCATTTGCATACGACGTCTTATCGCGGCGGGAACAGCACAGAGGATAGACACTGAAGCCCATTGCATTCTCGCCCTCTGCTGCAGGCCGCCTAGTACCTACGTACATACATACATACATACATACATACACAGCCATCCGTCCATTCATACCACCAAAAGAAACGCGTGAAGGCGGCTAACGCGACGTCGGAGCCGGCCACCTCCCCAAGCCCTCGAAGAAACGACTCATCTCCCGGTGCAGCGCATCCGTGCATCCAGCGCACCTCCGGCGTGCGCAGCCCTCGCCCTCGACTGAACGCGACCTGGAGATCTTCTCGAGGTCCAAGCAGAGAAATGCTCGATGAGCCACCCGGCCGCGCCGCCTCGAGTGAACAACAGCAGCAACCCCGCGACTACCGTTGACCTGCCAGCGAAGACACCGCCCAATCCATCATCCGCCCCATCGCCAGCAGCGTCATCGCCCAAATCCCTTCGTCCCACGCCTCCACACCTCGAAAGCACCACCAAACTCGCACGAAATGTCTCTCCGGGCCTGTTGGCGCGCATGAAGTTCCTCAACCAGCCCGCCGACACCCACTCCACTACCAAGCCTACCGTCGACGTCGGCCGCATCGAGCAAGATCGGCTACGGCGCCTCGACGAGTTCCGCAAAGCCCGCAACCTCGACATCGAGCGCCGGGGCACTGCGTGGACTGCAAGGCCTGGCCAGTCGACGCCCACCCTCACGCCCCTCATCCCCCAGTCGACGGGCGGGAGCGTGCCAGCCCTCACCATGGAGCCCGACTTTGAGAGCGACCGCAGCAGTGTCGTCAGCACCAGCGACAAGGTGCTGCCCTCCGAGTCGGATGCCGATGGAGAGCTTGACATGCAAAAGTATCGCTTGCCCGACGTCACGAAGCCGGAAAAAGCCCTTACCCAGACGCTGGTCGCGACTGCCATGACATCGCCCATAACAAGCGCGACAACAACACCCCCTGCAACCACACCTGCAACTGCAACCGCAACCACCACAGCAACAATACAAGAGGCACCCATCATCAGCCCTCCACAACCACAACCACAACCATCACCATCCACGGTAGCCGCCCTCCTACCACCACTGCCCATCCAGGCAGAACGCACACTACCCCCGACGCCGCCGCCCAAAGACTCGCCGCCGCTACAGGACTCGCCGCCGCTGCCACCACTGCCGCTGGCCGACCCCGACGAGGCTTCCGTCCTCGACGACAACAATGGCATCGACATCGAGTCCTACTTCCAGCGCCGCCACTACCCACGCGCCGGCTCCATCTACACCCTCTCCAAGGCTAGCTTCACCAACCAGATCCAGCAGCTGACCTCGATGAAGCTACCGCCCACCACCATCGCCTCTGAGATCACCGCCCTGGCCTCACCAACCCAGGCCGCCCGCGCACTGCACAAGGCAGCCAACGACATCCGTCTGTGGGTCTCCAAGATCAAGGAGGTCCTCAGCGGCCTGGACGCCGACGACGATGTCGAGTGGGCCGCCGCTGCCGGCCGAGAGGGGCTCGCCGAGGTTGATACCGCAATCAGCAAGTTCGAGGGACTTGTCAATGTCTACATCGGTGCTATCGAAGATCTCCAGTCGCGGTCAGATATTGCCCTGCTGCCTACGCGAGACCAAGTCACCCTCGTGAGCCAGATGGAAGACATTGTAATGAGTTGGGGTGAGATTAAGCAGACCCTCAAGGGTATCAAGAACCAAGTCGAGATTGCCATGGAGTGGGAAGAGCTGTGGAACAATGTTCTGGGTGACATTGGCGCCGAAGTCGAAAACCTCAGCCGCTTGATATTCGAGATGGAGGAGCGCAGACATCGCGTCATCTCAGATTCGGTCGCCGAGGCGCCAGAAAAGTTCGACATCAAAGAGCTCGAGAACATTGTCGAGGATCTGCCGCGAAAGCAAGCCATTCTCAACAGCAAGCGGTTTAGCATGCCCACGCTGACCATCCTGTCTCCTGTTTCGCCACTCCCTCAAATCGAACAAGAAAACTCTCGGCTGCTGGCTCTCTTCGCCAAGCTGCAGCCATTGCGTGCATCGCTCGACTTCCTCCCCATGCGACTCAGTACTTTTCAAATAAGAGCAAAGACCATTTTTCCCTCTGCTTGTGACGAGCTGGACCGCAGGAGGGAGCAGCTCGAAGCCCAGGAGAAGAAGTTGGAAGCCGAAGCAGACGCACTACGAGAGGAACTGGGGGAAGACAAGTGGGTGCACAGCTTCCGCCAGGCTGGAAGCAAGGCTGTTGCCATGTACGATTCATGCATGAAGAGCATACAGAGACTACAGCAAGCCATCGACGACACTGACGACGAGAAGCTGGCCTCACGCATTGCCACATACAAGGACAAGAGGGACCACTACCCGCCGTCTATGAGGCGCGTCCTGGAGTTGATCGACATTGAAATGAAGCACAGGTCTACCGTCAATGGTGAGATCCTACGCATTCAGCAGGATGTACGGTCCAAGGTAGAGGATCTCGAGACAGTCACTGGAAACATGGACGCCATCCTGGAAGACTTTACTGCCAGGCGCAAGCTTCGTGACTCTGTTTCTACCGTCCTCTCTGCTCGCACCGAGACCTCGTTCGCACATTCCAACATGGGCACCCCAGGCAGCTCTCCCGCTTCAAGCGTGGTTATGAGCCGCAAGAGTAGTGCCACGAGCTCTGCTGTTCTCCCGTCGGGCAAGAAGCCCCGTCAGCCCAGCACCGCATCATCCAAACCAGTCATGCCCGCAAACCGACGATACTCGAGCATGCCGCAAAGTATAGCTGCCCCTCCTCGCAAGTCCCTGCCCTCATCTCGTCTGGACTTTACATCTTCTCGCGCCACAGCCGGCACATTGGCTAGTCAAGCACGCGTGAAGACTCCCACCGACAAACCGGGACCTAAGCCTCGCTGGAACTCGGATACCCATCTGCGTGACACAGTCATTGGACACAACTTCAAGCCGTTGTCTCTGAGTACACCATCGCCATTTCGAAAGGACAAAGACACGCCGATTGGATCTGCGCGAAGCTCTTCAAGCCGTACGTCCATTCCTGTAAGAAGCCCACTAGGCCGTTCTTCGAATCTCTCGCCCGCGATGTCTGCCAGGTCCACGTCGACCAGCCCTGCCTTGCAGCGCCCGGGACGGCTTCTAGCGAGCCCCATGGAAACGCCAGCTACGCCTGGAGATGGAAGACCAGCTCCTCGGTCAACGCCAACATCCTCCCCCCAGGCTCAAACCACCACACCAGGGTCAAGCCGTCGCGTAACCACTGCGAGACAAGATGGTATGAGTCCCGGTGGTGAGGAGAGCCCTGCGGCCCGTCGCGCGTCCCGGCCTTCCAGTTCGTCAACCAATCACCGCAGCGGTATGTTTGGCTACAGGCAACGACCTTCGTCGGCCCCGAAGCCCACAGAAACCAGCCCTGCTTCCACCTCTGGGCGTACGATCAGCAGGCTCGGCAATGTGAGTGGAGGAAGGGCCAGCAGAGCCGGTGAAGCACGCACCGATAGTCGTATTAGCGGGCGCCAGTCAAGCCAAGGGCAAAACAAACCTGTCTGGAGATAGGCGCTCACAAAGCGGACATTTTCTGCCGGGAGCTCCGACCTTGAAGTGAACGACTCCCCTATCCAGTCTTCTTTCAAGCAAACAACGGCATCCTCATGTCAATCAATGTCGCATTGACAGATTTTTGTTCCCCCAACACTTCATTTCACCTCCGGATCCTGGCTTGATTCGCACCACCCCTATTCACTAGTACCAATTTTAGCTTACTAGTTACCTTTTTATCGTTTTTTGCGCCTTTTCCTGTTACGGTGTTCAGGAGCGGCTCCCCCCTTTTTATTCCCGATGTATGGCATCGACTATCGATCTCAACTCTGGAAATCATCATTTGAGTGGTTTTTCCTCACTTAGGCGTTTTTGGCGGTTGGGAGAAAGTATCCTATACCCCGGAGTTTTTTGTGTTTTTTTTGGCACTATTTGCTTGTTTGCTTTGCGCCCCCTCTTACTTCTTCCAACAGCAGCCGTACAGCATGTTCGGAATGCGGCGATACCCCCCTCATGTCGAGCTTTGGTGCGTTTTTGAAAGCGTTGTAGTTTGTTGTCAAGCATGGCGGACATTGTATATGCAGACTAGATTGGTATTGTAGGGTTCGATGGGTGAGCATAGGAAAGAAGGAAGGGAAGGGAAGTGTTTGGTGAGGTGGATATCAGGGTGAAGCAAACTTACACCATGTGTGTAAGTTGGAGCTTGCCATTTGAGTTGTGACGTGCATATCCATGCGTGGTGAACCACCAGCTGTAACGGACACAAATACAGGTACTTGGACTTTGCATCCTTAGACAACTTCGAATATATCTATAAGTACCTAATACAAAAATTTCTATCATGTGACAACTTATTACCTTCTCCATGCGCGCAGCAACCTTTTGACGGCATAACCAGACCCTCTTATCAACACAGCTATTAACTACCACTTTTTGTCCATTTATTGATATCTTCGTCCCCACGTTGTCAAAGGAGATACGAGAGATTAGCATGCAAGAAGTAGTAGCTAGTAGGATATCAACATTTCTAGTCGGGTATAATAATCCCATGAAGCATCTATTAATACCACGGCATCCAATAAGCCAATAACTGTTTCCACTTTCTATGCGCATTGCGGAATGTATCTGTCAATCTTACACCGGCGACCAGTAGAAGAGCTTCCGTCACCTATCATCTGTCAGAGAACTCGACTCATTTAGCTGATCACGTAAGAATCCATTGTCTCACCTTTGCAAGTTAAAAACCCTGAGGAACCAGAGTCACATTGACAACAATCCCAGTCACTCCTGCACTCTCCTACATTACGTTTAGCGAAAAAGATCTACTGGAAAAGATAATAGCAGATGGTTTTATTCTTACCTCCTACACCTTTTAAGAATTGTGTTTGGCATGCATACTTGGCAGATACACTGCTGATAGTGAGGCTGAATGCCAAAGCGAGAAGGAAGCGCATCTTGTTTGATCTGGAACGAATGCGGAGACAAGGAAACAAAGAGCAAGACTAAGATTAAGAGGGATGTAGAATGACTTATCACGCCTTTGGCCTAAGACAAAGGCAGAGAAGTATTTAAATAATCAATCTCTTACCTGACAGCATTGTGCTGCTATGGCATGATATGGACCCTTTGGAACTGCCATTTTTACCTTCCGCTCATCTGATACGATTGTTTAAATGTATGGAGACGGCCCAGGACCCAAAAGTAATAATAATCGCATTTAGTTCTCACGTAATTATATGAAATCTATCCAGCACAAGCATAGTCACCCCGGTTAAGTAAGCGCCGGTTTACCTGCGCTAAATAAGCATAAAGCAGTACATTGGTATTAGCAGAATCGTTAATACCAGACTCCCTAAATTTTATTGTACAGGGAACGTTGTAGAACGAACGCTTTATAGGAATTCCTATAACAGTATTCAAGTGATTTTATATAAGAAAAAAAACCCCCAGAGAATCCTAGCGAACGTAGAGAGAGTCGTGTTCGGATCATTCTTATTGATTACCCATCTCCAAACTCCCAAAGTGGATCTGCTTTCCAAGCTTCACCGTCACAGAAATAGCATCGCAAGGATTAAACAAGTGACCACAGAGCAGACCGTACACCCCTTCCTCTTCCGTATTTCAACCGGCCCGAAGCTTACTTACAGTAAGTAAGTACCGTATTAGCGTTGGCTAGCGCCGCCCCCTTGCTCGGACCTTACTAGGACTTTGCATCTACACACACCTGCTGTTTAGTTTTTGTGCGTAAAGTAAGCTTGTTGAGCTATATACGTCCTTGTAATCTATTCTATGCCTTTTTTATTTTACTTAATAAACCTGCAATAACCGTCTACACACACCCATCCCCCTTTTAGTAAGGGAGAATATTTCTTTGTATTGTTCAAGCTGGCGCAAGAATATATAGCGTTATGCGCTCAACTTTGAATTCAAGGAAAACTACTACTACTACTACTACTACTACTACTACTACTACTACTACTACTACTACTACTACTAGAAGTGTAGTGCTTTGCTGTGGCTAACCGGCAACTCTAATCGAAAGACTTTCTTTAACTTCCTTCTAACATACACACTACTTTTAAAACGGCTTACCAAGCTTGCTAGTTGCCTCCTCTTGCTTAGAGCTACGATTAAAGATATAAGATCGAAAATAAGTAGCTATAAAAGGCTTACATCTAAATTTACTACACACGTTGTTGTTGTTTTTAAAAAAAATCCCCTAATCCACATCTCTATCCCCAATTCGGGCTTCATATTACAAACCAGCGCTATTCTTCAACTCTGTGTTCTAGAAAAGAAAACAGACGTTACTCCATTTTATCAACTAGCGCTTACATTACTAAAATAACGCACCATCTAGTGCTGATATTGCCCTCTGTTTCCTCCTCTTTAGGCGAAACCGGAAATTCATTTTTCTAGCTTAAGCTTCGCAATTTCTTATCTCTAGCTTTGGAAAAAAGGAATTCTGGTTTGTTCCGCTATGGTGGGTAGTAGAGGCCGGTTCAAGTACGCTGGTAAATAGGATATTTCCCCCCCCTCTCTCTCTCTACTACGAGGGTATTGTGTATCGTAGTCGTTGTATGGGCGGTGGGTAGATATAAAGATGTAAGGTTGCTAAGATCTTCAGTTAGAAATAGGGATAGAATAGAGCTAAGACTTAAATAAGATCTGTATTCCTACTACGCATTCTACCACCGTATGCGGCTTAGATGGTTATTGGATGCGAATACTCACCGCTTGCTGACGCGTGTTCGATGGCATTAAGTATTGTGCGTTTTACACTACTATCTCTATAGTCATGTTAGTTATCCTTGCTTACAAGGACTTCAAGATAGCTAAGCATAGAGAGCACAAAGAGCATAATACTAGCTTCGTCCATGTTTTACATATCATTCGGCACAACCTCTGGTCCACAAAACTCTATCATAGTATAAATTCGGTAAGAGCCTTCTTTTCAGACGGGTTAAGTATTGCTATCATTCCGCTTTTTTTTTCCTGTTTCGAGGGCTGTTCTTTACTGAAAACAGATAAATTATTCGGCAGCAACCGCAACGCCGCGTAATTTTGTAGTTAGGCGTGCCTAGCACTTTGGGTAGTAGTTATAGAGACATGTACCAGCGATGAAGTAAATATCAATCGACTTTTGTGCAGGAAAACCGCTTTTGTAGAAAGATTCATTCTGCTATAGTAGTTGTTCCGTTATAGGTGGAAATGCACGCTATTCAACACAAGCAAAGAAGAAATAGAATTGATCCCACTCAAGGATCGAACATTGTACTTCTTCCTCCTTGACCTTTTAAATATTTCCACCTCTTTCCTTATTCCTCGTCCATTTTTTTTCCAACCCCATTATCTAGCACTGTGCATCCACATACATCCTCCCCAGAAAAAAAACTTTCTCTCACCCACACCTCCACGCATGCCACCTCTCCCCCTCCTCCCTTTTCGACCCATGATGAATCCGCATATTCTCCAAAAACAACACTTCACTCCCGTGTTTATCGCATAGTCCCCGTGCATAATATCGATCTCTTGGTCGTAAAATTGCGCCTCGGGGGCGACCAACCCAGCACCTTCTTTGCTTTGGCTTTTGCTTCTGCTTCTGGCGAGGGGATTCCTTATCGCTTTCTTCGCCGGAGGAGCAAGAAGAGGATGGGCAAGAGGAGGGTGCGGGGGCGTAGGGGAGGAGGAAGGAGGGGAAGGTAGGTTCGTGGGGGTGGTTCTGGGGACTACCTGGGGTGTTGGGGGCGGTGGCTGCAGCGGGATTTTTGGTAGTGTTGGAGCGGGGGAAAATTTTTGTAAAAAATGTAGTCAGTTTTTGGAGGAGGTTGGAGATGCTGTACTCCGGGTTTGTGTCGGCTTGTTTGCTGCTTGCCGTGAAATCATCAGTGTAGAGGCTGTAGTTGTTGTTCTTGGTGGTGGAAGACTCAGCTCTTGGTAAAATTCGTGCGTGAATGAGTTCTTGTGGATGTAGTTCCCGGCCGATATGGGGGAGGGTGAAAATGGTTGAGTAGGTTTTCTTGCTTACTGAGCTTGGAGGGAGAGCAGTGGAATGCTCTGCTGGATTTGAGGTCTGTATCTGTGCAGTGTCAGTGGCTAGAACATTCCTCAATGATGATGTTTGTTGTTGAGTGTATGTAGCCATTTTGAAAGAGGTGGTGCCGTTTTAAGCTGCTTTGCACGTGGTGCTGAGGTATGTATGCGTGGAAACAGTATTCACTTAGAGATGGAAAGAATATGTTGTGTAGGAATAGATAACGTTCGGGCATTTCATCGTGAGGTTAATATAATAGATGGGCAGCGATGTGACGTTAAAGACGTTTTTCGAAAAGTGCTGTTGCCTTGTTGTCGGAGGACATCACTTGAATCCAACTCATCATGTATCATTGAAGAGTAGCCATGCCAGCAAAGATAGTGACAGCAGTTGTGGAGAAGGAAAAGTACACGTGGATGTGCATCATCGATATTCAGTTATATCCCTCAACATTAAAGATCCTTAATCAAAGTCACGACGATACCATTCACACCAGGGCCGCCGCTCTCCCCTCCATCCAATACCTGCTGGCAAAGCCTAAACCCAATACTTTCGTAAAAAGCCCGAGCCTTTACATTCGACTGCACCATATCTAAATGTACACCACTCGCACCCAGCTCCCTAGCCTTATCAAAGAACCTCTTCATCAACACAGTCCCCCACCCCTTCCTCTGATACTCTTTCAAGATATCAATATGGATATGCGCCGGATACTGCTGTAAAGTCTCCGGCCACGACTGCAGCATACTACAATCAGCCTCGTACACCGCTTTCCGAAAATGCCTAACATCCTCTTTTTCCATGAGTGACGCAGCGTCATCGTCACCACCGACGTGTACATCAGGGGGAGGAACAAGCGTGCGGTCTACGCTTGGAGCAAACTCTTCGCGCCAGCGCTGCGCAAAAGATAGCGTGTCCACTGTGCCGATGCAGTAACCGACTACGCGCCCGTCGCCGTCGTCAAGCACGAAACATGTTTCTGGTGTCAGGGCAACATAGGGCTTGTACCATAGGTGCGAGCCTATAGTGCGTGCGGGTTCCCAGTCGAGAACTGCGTCGATGGTTGAGAGATACTGAGAGGAGCATTGTTAGTACAAGTCAGCGGGTGATTTGGTTGTTGTGAATGTATATGTACCACGTGCATACCATGCTGGAAGTCATGGGATGCGTCATATGGTCGTACAAACGGCGTAGCTTCCGCCATTTAGTGTCGGAGTTGGAAGACTTGAGGATTGAATGTTTCCAACGCCACGTTCACTTTTTTATATGGATACTCCAACTCCAAGGCGCGAGAACAAGAAAGGCTGATTGAAGCGATATGATATATAGTTATACGTGAAATACGAAATGCATGTCAGACAATGGCAGTGCCGGCTGCGAGGCTGCGGGGATGGAGGGGCAGCATCCGTTTGTGATTGGCTGCTCGTTACCGTAATATATGTTTCCTGTCATCCAGGTGAATACTGAAAATGTATGCGTAGGTACCTAATTGGAGAGCAAGTAGTCAAACTGATGTTCAAGATCATTTGGGCTTGAAGAAAAGTTAATTTTCTTGCGCACGAGAAGAATCGCTTGCTATCCAATGCAACAATTCTATGATCAAGAAAGAATGTATTTGTGAGCAAAGGATAACGCTAGTGGAGATATGAAGATTATTCTGTTAGCCTGTTATGGGTTAGGATATTTCAAGATCGCAGGTCGCTCGTTGGTAATCCGGAATTCCAGTTCCTCTTTTGGTCTCATCCGCCCTTTCCGTAGATTCGGCCCCACACGTTGCCAGTCCCGGTCCCTAGCAACGTTCGGTTTTGATTTTTTGTTTATTCTACCAAAGCTAAGACGAGCACTTCGAAGATGTGATGATCCTATCGGCATCCCCTCAAAAACAAATAGGTTCCGTTGCCGCAAACTGAATGGCCATCTTGCCTTGTCTCACATTGCGCATATTCTATATTCACACGTAACGGATTATCATAAAGAAAAACGCCTCTAATTCCCTTGCAGACAGCAATTTATATACAATAATCCGAGTAAGCATTGATTCATAGTCCGTGTTACGAATAACAACAAAGTCATTCACTCAAGCACATGAGCTGTCCAAGCCCAGTGACAATAGTGTTGGATAATAGTGGCCCACCAAACGCCAAAGACAACGATCACCTCCCCCAATACCGTGAAGATCCGCCGTTTCCTCCCACCCTAATTGAAGTATATATGACGGAAATGGGTATGCAAAGCCCAGCATTTCCAATTGATGAATGTCCACAAAAACACTGCATGATACCAAGAAAACGCTCACAGGTAGCGATAATCTGGAGCACGAGATCTGCGATTGCGACCTCGAGGATTAACTGGTTGCCTATCATATGCATCATTATCCTGTTGTCCCTGCACACCGCCCCATTGCCCTTGCATTTGTCCTCCACCCCATCCATACTGCTGTTGTTGGCCAAACTGCTGACCATACTGTTGCTGTTGACCATACCCAAAGTTCTGCTGGGGAAACCACCCTTGTTGCGGCCCTTGTTGTTGGTGTTGCTGTGGAAAACCCATCTGGTAGCCATTCTGGAAGCCCATTTGGTTTGGCATCTGCATTGGCATTGGCATTGGCATCGACATAGGCATCGGCATGTTCATTGGCATGCCCATTGGTTCCATTGGCGCATTTTTGAGCATTTCCATTTGCTGAATGAATTCCTGTTCCATCTTCGACGCGGGGTCGGCTGCTTGACGCATTGCTTTTGGTGCGGTTGGTGGCTTGATATCTGTCGGAGGCTCTTTGCGCTTTTTAGAAGAAGTAGAGTCAGTATCGGAGACTTCGTCCGCCACTGCCGCAACAGAAGCACTAGTAGCACTAGTAGTATTTGTAGTGTCATTTGCGACGGGAGAATTTGCGTTGTCAGTAGCATGGGATTGAGAAACTGATTCATTTGTTGAAGCAACTGCTGCCTTTGCTGCCTTCTCCTTCTCTGCTGCCTTCTCTGCGTCGTATGCCTTGAGAGACTTGACCATATCATCGTCGGCAATAAGATCATCCATCAAAACATCCTCCTTTGCACAGTTGGGGCAAACTAAATCACCATCTGCAAGCGCATTGTCGATGCACTCACGGCAGTATGTCTTACCACAACATGGAGTCTTGACAGGGTCAACAAATCTTTGGTTGTCGATTGGGCATTCAAGTCCACGCTCGCGGAGCTCCTTGCTGGCGGCATCAGCACTCGCTGCGCGCGCACGTGATGCGTTTGTCTTCTCTTGAAACTTATCCCAAGCCTTTGTGTCTGTCATGACCTGTACATATTCTCCATCGGCATTGAGCATAATGCCCTTCGCAGCTTCCTCGTCGACAGGCTTCTCAACCTTCTTCAGGAAGGACTGTGGTATGCCAGTCGTGCGCTTGGCTTGGAAAGCGGGTTTAAAGTCGGGATCGTCGTTGGTGGGGCAAGCCTGTATCCAGTGGCCTTTGATGTTGCAGCGGCGGCAGACGTAACCTGGTGGTGGCGGGTGCGATGGGACGACTACATTCTTGGTGTTGTTCTTGCGATAGACCGGCTTCGCGTGTGAAAGGGCTTCTTTCTGGGCATCCCAAGCCATGGCGGATTCTGCCAGGAAAGCCGCCTCGGCATCTTCTGGTGTTGCATTGTTCACTTGAGGTAGGGGGGCCGCAGGCTTGGTTTGTGTAGTGATTGCGCGTGACGGTGCTTTGCCTGTGACATAGCGTGCTGCCCTGCCCTGCCCTTTTGGAGCAGGGCGCCGTATCGCGATGACTGTGGAGGATCGTGGTATCAGCGTAGTATCATCCTTATACTCTGAAGCTGGATCATCTTGCGGGAAGATGTGGAGGTTGAAGTCGGTTCCATCGCCCAGGCCGCTCGCGCTGATGATCTCCTTCTTCAGTTCGAAGACGCTCAGATCGGTGCCATTGAAGATTATACGCTCGCTGTCCCTGGAGTTTTTGAATTTATAGAAAATAGACGAAGTCATAGTGGTGTCGTGTGTCGTGCGGCTTGGATTGGGCGTGTAGTGAGAGAGGCGTGTTGTGATGAGGGATAGCAAAGGTCACCTTGGCTTTGCTTGAGTAAGCGGGCACGGGCCACGTGTCGAGAACCCCGGAACGCCACAAGCTGGAACCTGAGTTCGCAAGATTGCCGCACCGCAAAGAAGGTTCCACGGGTCGTCGAATGAACACATTGGATGACAGAACAGAGAGGTTATGAAAAATCAACGAAGTATTGCAGTTTATATAGTACGAGAGAAGAGGGGACAAGCAAGTTCTATTAGCAAAAACAAGCGCATAGTAAAGACGGAGTTCGAAGAGTAGAACTTGAGACCTAACAAACTGTGGAAGAATAGAGGTGTCTCGCAGGCTCTTCTTGTCGAATTCAAAAGGACTAGGCTGTCTACTAAACTAGAGTATCCGCTTTCATGCTCCTTTAAGTAGGTGAGCCTAGAGGCTTCTCTGGCGCTCCGCCGAACACGACGGTCACATGACTAGAAGATCTCTTGTGTAGTATGACTTTGTTGTACGATACTATATATGCCTTTATGATCCCTTCTTCAGAAGAGGTCACGTATATTCATCAAAAATTGCTCTCCTACAAAACAATAATATCAGCGAAAGCAGTCCGACGTTGATAAACTGCTCCATGAAAGAGAGGGTAGCATAAACAGTATGAACGAGAACATAAATGCGCGATGCGCTTTTCAAGAAGCTCATGAATCTGTAAGCACGCCAGAGGCGTTAGCAGACAAAAATGCGTTCAACACTTATGAGCAGTCTACACTACACAACATGGAGAGCAATCATCCAACAACTGCATCTCTACCAAGAAGAACTAGAAGATGAACGGCCAGTAGAAACTAGCTTAGCGTATCCGGCATACTTCCACAATACTTCTCTTTTATTCCACCGGCAGATGAATCCAAACCCAGATTTTCGAGACATGCACTCCACAAGAATCACTGACCAATTACCAACCAGCATGCCACACAACCCACCCACACACCGCACCACCATCACCATCACAACCCATGCACAAGAGCCAGACAAATCCAGACTCACCCTGCACCCCGCAGCCAAGAAAACCGCGCACACGCATGTGCATACATACTAACATACGCCCTTCTCCGCCCTTCCACGAGGGGGCGCGTCGCACACGCAGCACGCATCGCACGTATATCACGCCATACTAAGAGCAAGGATATATACAAGATCGCGAAAAAGCAAACAAAAGAAAGTGGGGAAAGAACAAAAGAGCCGACAGCAAAGCAACATCCAACGAGGGCTCCAAAACAGTAGCGTATGTACAGCGGTAAAAAGAAAAGCGGGGGAAGTTTCACATTTGTCTATTTGACGCCTTAGAACATACTTACTACGTACGCCTACGGGACCTGACATGGAACCGCCAGCGCAAGGCGACAGAAGATGCTGGAAGCGATGAGAGAAGAGAAACTTCCCCCAACCAAAGCACATACGCGGAAGCTGGGTGACTTTGTTTCATAATCTTCGCTGCGATGTAGCGCGTATGGGGATTTTCCCTGCTCGGCATCGTGCCCAAAAAACCCCACAGTTATGCCATTTGCGTGACGTTGTCTTAAGTACTGTGTTAAGTTGTTTCGGGTAAAAAGAAAAAAAAGGGGGGAAATGGTCAAAAAAGATGCAAAGATGCAAATGTGTGGTATTTCATGGCTATGCTTAGAAACTAGTATATACAAGAATGGTGTTTCCTCTTCGCATCCAAAAAGTCGTTATTTACAGTGGTCTTTGTCTGTTAAAAAAAAGGCAACAAGACAAAGACAGGGGGGTTCTCTACGAGGAATTAAGCGATTAGGATGGTCCACGCTACGGTGACTTTATCCGGCTTGCCCTTCATCAACTCGCGACGCAGTTTATGCAGTAGTTTTTTTCCTGCACTGCATAGAGAGTGGTCTAGTACTCGAGATCCTTGGCGTGCCTCTTAGCCAGAGCCTTGACAGCAGGGCCGGGAACAGGGTAGCTGGAGAAGGAAGTGAAGACGTTGAACTTGATACCAGGGTCGTTGGCCTATTATATTTGCGTTAGCAGTGCTCTGATATGTCAATCGGGTGAAGGGCATGTTGATCTTACAGTGTAGAAGCTGGTAGCGGGAGTACCACCACTGAGCCTTCCGGTTCCAGAGCCCTCAACCTTGAAGTTGATGCACTGGGGGTATGCCTGGGCGCCGTTGGTCTGGCCGGCTGCGTGCAGCGCGATGATCTCGTGGCGAACGACGTAGTTGCCGGGAGCAACGTTAGGGAAGGTAATGTCCCAGGAGAAGTTGTTGGCGATCAGGTCATCGGTAGCCCACTTGCCGGGGTTGCTGCCCGACTTCCAGGCCTTGGATGAAATCTTGGTCCACTGAAGGCTGGAAGGGTTGACGGAGCCGCAGTCGCCGTTGCAAGGAGCAATGTACTCTTGGACAGGACCAACGTGGCTGACGGGCCAGGTATCCCACTTGAAGGTGACCTTGCTGCCTGGCTTGACGGTTACGTAGGCACCGTTGCTCTTGCCCTGCTTGTGGCAGACAATGGCAGAGGTACCAAAGGCATCGGGAGAGACGAAGCCGTTGTCGAGGTTGTCGGCTTGCCAGCCAACAGTGGCAGGAATGGGGTTCTGGTACTTGAGAGCAGCGTTCCAGCCCTGGTATTCCTTGCCATCGGCGACGACCTTGTCAACGTGACCGTGAGCTGCCACAAGGGGCGCAAGAAGAACGAGGAGGGAGAGCATAGTGATGGTGTTTGACAAGGTGGAGTGAAAACGATCGTTTCAAACGATGTAGAGAAGAGAGTGGAGGTGAAGAGGCTGTTGCTGAGAAGTCCCTGTTGAGCAAGACCTTGAGGTTGGATTCCTTCTTGTTCATATACTCGTCGCCATTCTTCTAGCGTCATTCTTCCAACGCCTCCGCCTACCTTCGACCAGGTTTTCCGTACGCCTTGCAATCAAAAGATTCATTTCGAAGTACCTGTCTCCCCGGCTTCTGAATTGTGGGCCATCCGATTGTGGAAAGGTCACCCCCTGTCACCACGCTCTTAGAACGTGACTGAACGTTGAGATTCCAGTCCTGTGACTAGGTTTTGTCGATGTGATAGGCCAGGTGTGTAAAAACGGGGCCTGGATTAATATCGCTGGTGCAATATTCTCCTACACGTTGGTGCTAGGCAATATATTCTCGGCTAGGGGCATGGCGCCTACTCGCAAGGTCACCAGCCATATGCGAGCCTCATTGAGCCTATTGCGGAACATGCCATCTCCATGAGTTCAAACAGTGGAAACCCTTTCGGGCCATTAACGGAAGGATCATGGCCGCATGAATTTGCAATCGGTCTTTGTAGACTCACGGCTAATTCGGTGGTCAACAGTCGCAATCCGTCCCTTTCAGTAAGATTGCAGACAACCATCTCTGATGTCAACAGCCGATGCACGGTAGTCAGCTGTTGCACTACCGTTACCCGGCATGCAGTAACTTTCTAATCCACGAGCATGGAAGGTATTACTCGCAGCATTAGCATGGTGATCTTGAATGGTTTTCGTGCTAGCACGTTATGTCCGATAGCGTGTGGATCCTTGTGGAGGTTAATTTGAATAGATTAGAGGCGCGGACCGCTGAACCGAACTTCAACCATGTTCACACAACACCAAGGTGCCACGAGGCTGAGCCTGCAGATGGTCGAAACAAACCAAGGCAAACAGATTGGGAAGGACCTGAATAGGGAATCTTGACGTCAGGCACCTTCTGCCTGGAATGGCACACTGCGTTCGGCGAATTTCTCGTAGCGTCGGACTTGAAGAAGGTTGTCATGAGTTCTAGGTTCATGATTCAAAACACTGGCATTGCAGCATCATCTAGTAAGTACTCGTATAGTTTGACGTGTTTGAGGGTAGCTGTGACTGATGCATATATCCAGCGTTGAGTAGTTATGTTGCCTGGGAATTTCGCAGCTTAAGAACATCGCAGGTGGCATGCCGCCAACGCTTTCAAAGGCCTTTTGAGAAGTTTTGAGAAGCTTTCAGCGATATCCTCTGCTCCGCTGGGTATGCCTTGTGCGCTGATTGGGTGGCTGCCCTGTAACACGAAATGCTGCAGATTAAGTTCAGGAGCCTGGAACGCGCCGTAGTAAGGTCGTCTTTCCAAACGTTGGTATCCACATTTGTCTTTCTTGCTATAGGTAAGGATGGCAAATATGGCAAACGGAAGTATGATTACGTGGTTGTCGCCGAAGTATTTATTACAAAGGTGTCGCTGATTTGGATGAGTGATTAGGGCAATTGAGCTCCCAATCGTCCCTATGTTCGGTACACAGCCTTTGGATCCACACAAAGAGTAGCTTCCGCACGTGCTCTGTATCAGCCCTGAAACGACGGACCTACTACGTACCTACATGTGCATGTATGGACGGACATACTCTCGTTCGGCACCAAGGGTATCATGTACCAAGTGGGCGAATAACAGTCTTGCATAGGCAAAGTCAAGATTGAAGAAGTTTGGTCTCAGCAGCTGCACCATGTGCTGAAATGGCGATGTGATAAGAGAAGGGTTGTGTAGGGCCATGGATCCAGTGTGCTTAACAGCTAGTACCTGCACAAAAAAGTATGACGCTCTTCGGTACCGCAAACACACGTTGTGAGGGTCATATGATATCGCGTCATGTCGCAACGCCTAGGACGCGGCTACTACTAGATACTTGGACGTTGATAGAAAGCACAAGGACGGGACAGGCAGAGAATAAGCTGCATATGAACGCGCTAGGACCGCGCGGGTGAGTGCTGACCGATACCCGCGATCGACGAACGACGCGCATCGGGTGTGTCACGGGCAATTGGTTGCGTCATTTCCTGTCGCATCGTCATTTTTGAGGCTGAGGTGTGGAGCGATGGCTGGTATGCGCGGTCAACAACGGGTTCGAGAGTGTTTATGCTGATGGTGGCCGGCAGCTATTTTTGAAGCTCGGAAAGTGTGAAAAACATGGTGGGGATGAATGACGCGTCATGCCAGGGCGGGACCAAGAAGTCCACTGAGGCGGACGAACAACAAAACCACAGGCAAGCCCAATCAGCGACAATGGCAGCAGGCGGACCTTGGGAAAAAGAAAAGGAGAGAGTGAGACGGAGCCATCCGCAGGACTACCAAGGTCTGACAACAGAAGGGACGCCGGATAGTTAAGGCAGACTGCGCCTCGGCCGAGGGTGCCATGGGCTGGGCGTGATGGCCATTCGGAGAGGGTTTTGCTCCGTGCGAGTGTTATTTGTATGTTCCATAGTAGGCCGGCCTGGGGTGGTGGTGTGAAGGGTGAAGGAGGGTGGGTGGGTGAATTACGCGTTCTTGGGACGCCAACAGCTTCGGACGACGCAGCTCGACGTCGACCGGGTGGGGAAGGATAAGCCAGTTGCGGCGGGCGAAACCCGGACCCAGCCAATGGGAGGCGATCGACAAGACCTAAGGCCTCGAGGCCGACGCAACCCATTACATACGACGTACGGCGGTTTGGCAAGAAAAGCTTGCAGCATCGACAAGACAAGAAGTTAAGCAAGCAGGTGGGCGCAGCTGTCAGCGCGGACGACAGGCTCGAGTATATAGCTACATCAAGGCACCCAAAGCGGCCTGCGCCAAGGTATCCATTCCTCCCACTCCCCACGGCTTCTCCAACTATTGTTCTTGCTGGCTTGGTGTGACGTTGGCCACATCACCTCATCATCGTGTTCGGTAATCGTAAGCATAATACGATTGGCTCCCTCGCTTTCGTCCATTCGCACCCTCCAGCATCTTCCGGGACTTCCGCTCCACCAGGCCCTCGCCATTCACAAACATCTTTCATCCAAACGCTCTCTTTTTCATTCATTCACTGCCCTCTCCTCGTCATAATTTCAACCGCTCCCTCAGCCCCGACCATCGACTATTTTGCATCTGCTGTACCCCGCTATCACACTAGCCCACTTGCACTACACCACCACCACCACCATCATCATGCCTCCATTCGCCCCACCCTCCGTGGTCCTCCAAAAGAGAGACAACATGGGTTTCCAACTTGCTCCCGCTCTCATCATCTTCCTCGTCATCCTCGGAGCCGGTGGCCTTGTATGCTGTGGCTTTGCCATTTTTCGATTCTATGGCAAAGACCCTGATTCAGAGGCCTCTCTTTTCAACCGCTCGCCCGAGCAAGACGCCTATATGCGCGAAGTCCGAGAGCGCAACTGGTCCAGGCTCCCCCAATTTGGAATGATGAAGGGCGTAAACTATTCACAACAACAACATGCCCATGCACCCATGAGTCCAAGGTGAGCCCTGTCCACTTTCACATCTCACCATGTCCCGATGCTGACCCTTAGTAGCGCCAGCAATACCACTTATGGATGATGCACAAACAAAGCAGCTTTCTGCACATTGATACAGTCAGATAAGATACGATGCCATCACTATATGCCATCGTAAGAGGCATGTTGGCTAAACATTCAAACACGATCAAGAATGCACGATGCTACGATCCGAAGGCGCACGGGATGTGATTATTTCGAGAAATTTTCGGTGCATATACGCACCCTTCCAGTACGGATAAGAGATAGTACGGACTTGATACAAGAATCTGCATCGAGTCTGCGGGTTCGTTCTGCGTTTCGCACTGTCTGAGTATCAGCTGCGAAGACGCAAGTACGGTGCTGCCGACCAATGTGATTAAGGTTCTCACGAGTGGTTATGATAGTGTTTGGGTCCTAGGGGGAAGAGCTCACCCGAACACAGTTACAGGCGTTCCACCTCCAGCGACGGACCATGAAGTGGGATGTGGTGGTCCATAGAAGCCGCGACTGAGTGTTGTAGGAGTTCCATCTTCAGCCCGATTACATCAACGGGTCATGCAATCCACGTCAGATTTTTCTTTCCTTGTGATCATGGTGCTGTTGTGATGATGTTCGCTTGTAGGTCATCAAACTATACAACGTCCCTTGCCTTGGCGACGACTAGCATGATGAAGTGCACTACAATGACCCACACCTCCACGTGTTGTTGCTCTAGTAGCACTAGTAAGTCTAGTGTTAGCCCAACTTGTCAACGAATCATTACAGTTCAATCAACCCCAACTCATTTATATTTTTTGCAAATAGAAACGAGGTGTTCGGGTCTTGACACAAGTCCAGTGGATCCTGTCGCGCTCTTTAAAGCAAGGTGAAGAGCATCGAAGAGTAATCGTATCTCTTCTACCTGACATGTCTTTTTGTGATTGCTCGCATCTTTTAAAGTCTCTCTGACAGCTACCGGTGGCCAGTCGGGTTAGACAACATGCTGCATGGTCCACCGCATTGCAGATGCTTCCAACATGGGACTAAAATAACAAGCATTACACGTGTAGAACGCAAGACCCTGCAGATTATCTACATCCTTGTTACCCCAAGTAGTCTGACACATAGGTCTACTACCGAGTATCAAGATATCGTAAGTGTTGCGAAATGCTCCAAAACGTCCCTGTGTTGCGATGAGTTGTCGAACTATGCACTAGAAGATGGTCGCGTATGCCAATATTTATCAGATATCTCGCTCGCAAAGGAAGGAAAGTATCTTCTGCTTTTTGCGACAAAGATAAAAAAAAGGAGATACAAATTTCAGGACGCGTCTCTCTCGTTGATTATATACCGAAAGGCAAGACCAAGGTGCGGAATCGATTGCGCGGAGACTACACGTTACACTACGCCTCCAGCAACTTTTCACAACCGGGCCGGCCTTGGTTACACTATTCGGGTCATATTTTTGTGCTACCATGTCACACTGGAAGTGGATGCTCCGTACCTGATTTGTACATGTACCAGTATGATAGTTCAAAAAATTTCTGCTCTATTGTTTCGCCTAGCCCCGCAACGGTTTCCCGGACATGGGCATGCCCATCCTTTTTTTTCTGGAGACTGCAGCCGGAGTTGGTCCGATGGGGATGGGGTATGACATAACTGGACCCATCCAGTACTGTTTGCACTATTGTGCAACCCCAGCCTTGATTTTGGGTCTGGCATCTGGGTTGGTACAGGCTGGCGGATAGTAGCTGGACGGAGAGGAATAGTATAGCTTGAGCTATCCAGAAAGGCTGCTAATGAAATGAAAAGCGTTGTTGGGAGGTTGCCCAGGATCCTCTCACGCTAACGCCTTGCGGTTATGTCTTCTTTTCAATTACCGAGTATCTGGGTATCCAGAGACAGAGCTCCTTTCCGAACATGGTAAGCCTGTTTGGAAAAGCAATAGGTTATTGTGTGTTCCCCACCAATCTTGAGTTACATCGCTGCGATACTGTGGTGGTAGGCCAGCATTATGTATGTATATGGGCCACTAGGAATAAGGGGGCGACACAAGCGATGATAGACAGTAAGAGCTATACTATATTTAGTATAGTGTCTATTAAAGTTATTACGAACAACGCTTGATGATGCTCAACCCCAGCCATGGCAACCAAAAGAACCAAGACTTCCCCGCATCTAGTCATTTGACTAGTCCTGTGCACCAACTGCTGGTCACCGGTAGTCTTTGACCTTCTTCATTTGTACAATCTCCGACTATCGGCTGACACTTTTGATCCGGATCGTCAGCGTAGTGACGTCGGCGTGGCCAAAACACATGGGTGCTTGGAATAGTACGGTGAGGCTTACATCCGCCATAGTACCGCGAACAAAGGTTATCACTGCCGTCCGTGAGCGAGGATAGGACCAACTCGGAATGCATTGCGGCAAAAAGAGCACAGGTAATATGTAACCATGGCCGGTTGCATATGTAGTACTACATACATATGTAAGTGCTTGTAAGCCATCATTATACGGCTTCGAGCTCCCGCTTGCTCTTCGTTGCGCCTTCGCTCCACATTCCCTTTCCTTAATACTGCGAGTCCGTCTTGCTCCCTGACTGCACCATGCGCAACCAAATGCTTCTTGGTGTGCTTTCCAGCGTGCCATTGCTAGTCTCAGCACAATGCCCAGAATACAGCGACTACGCAAAAGAGGTACATGAGCCGCTAAGCTCAGGCAAGTACCGTCTTGCCTACCAGCGACCGTCAGAAGAGTGCCGAACCTTTAAATCTCAAGGCCTTGAAGATCTCATCACCCGCATGAAGGACGTCATCAAGGATCCGGATCTATATCGCCTTTTTCAGAATGCATACCCCAATACGCTCGACACGGCCATCAAATGGAAGGGACATGCTGCCGATAATGCAGAAGAAGAATTGACTTTTGTCATTACTGGAGACATCAATGCAATGTGGTTGCGCGACTCATCGAATCAGATGCAGAGCTACCTGCCATTGCTGAACGCGAGTAGCGATGCCAATTCTATTGCAAGTCTATATCGCGGTGTCATCAACTTGCAGGCGCGGTACCTGCTCACATCTCCATATTGCAACTCATTTCAGGCACCCACCGAAAGCGGTATCCCGCCAGCCACCAACGACTACGCGAATACAGATCAGGTCTACCCTACATACTCCAACCAGAGTGTATTCGAATGCAAGTATGAGCTGGACTCGCTCGCGGCGTTTTTGCAAATATCCGCCGATTACTACCAGGCAACAGGAGACATTGAGTTCTTTGGAAAGTTCAAGTGGGCACAGGCCGTTGAAGCCGTTCTCAACGTAGCAGATGATATGACGCTTCCTACATATGGTGCGGACGGAGCTGTTTTGGATAGCCCATATACATTTCAGCGCTCAAACGTACTAGCTACCGAGACGTTTTCCAACTATGGAATCGGAAACCCGGTCGCCAATGGTACAGGCTTGGTTCGAAGTGGATTCAGGCCTAGCGACGACTCCACCATCTACCAGCTCTTTATTCCCGCCAACATGATGTTTAGCTCATTTCTGGCACCGACTGCTGAGATCATGGGAAAGTTGAATGGCACCAACACTAAAGCGCTTGCGCAGAGAATGTCTTCACTCTCAGAGTCACTGCGCAGTAGCATTGAGAAGCATGCGACAGTTGATCATCCGACTTTCGGCAAGATCTACGCGTTTGAGGTTGACGGGTTTGGCGGGCGCACCATCATGGACGACGCCAACATTCCGGGCCTTCTCTCTGCGCCCTTTTACAAGTACCCGGTCAATAACGAGACGTACGCCAACACGCGCAACTTGATTCTCAGCGCAACAAACCCCTATTACATGAGGGGGCCTGTTATCAACGCAATTGGCGGACCACATGTAGGATTAGGTAAAGCGTGGCCTATGGCATCTATTGTACGCATCCTCACGAGTAATGACGATGCTGAGATTGTGAACGAGTTGAGGCAAATCGTTAGCAGCACTGACGGGTTGGGCCTCATTCACGAAAGCGTAAACTCGTTCAACGCGAGTGATTGGTCAAGGCAGTGGTTCTCGTGGGCGAACGGGCTTTATGGGCAGATGCTTTTGGATCTCGAAGATCGCAAGCCGGCATTGCTGGAGACGAGTTTCCAGTAAAACTCGGGAGGCTAGTCCTGTCACGGACGGACGATTATCGGAAATGCAGCCAGCGTATGCCCGTCAATGCACCAGGGCTTGAAACCATGTGCTACAAATGTCATATAGATTGCTAGGCAACGCCCGCTGTAGCACGTCATTGCTTTTTGCCCTTTGCTCGACAAGTGACCCTGCATGCAACTGACATTTGTTCAAGGGACGAACGATGTGAGGTGGAACACATGCCTGCAGCGTACCAAACTCGTCCATGTGCGAAAAAAAACAAAAAACACACAGGCTATGCATGACACGCGCGCACCCGTTCCCGGACGTGGGCGTTTGCAGCATAGCAGAGTCAAACAAAACAGGGTTGATGGATGCCGGCACCGAGGGTTCTCGTGGCCGTCATGGCAACGTAACAGGCTCCGCTTCCAAGGTATGCAACGCAATGCAATGCAATGCAAAGCAAAGGGAGGAGGCTCGGCCTGGTGATACTAACGACTGGCCATGCCCCGCCCAGCAGTGAGACCTGTGCCGCAACCAGCGCTACACTATTGACCGTCAGGCGTTTGTGATGGCCACATGCTTTACCTACACGTCTAGACTGGCCTTGGGGTTGAGGCGAGGCTCGCCGTTGGCGGGAGTGGGGTCGTATGAGGAGCCGGCTCCGTGATGCCAATGGTGGTGGTTGTGGTCGTGGTGGAGAGAAGCAAGCAAACAGCCCCCATGAGATAACCCATGCCGTGTCCTCAGCAACGACCAGGACCAGAAACCCGGCGACCATGCTGTTGCAACGCCTCGTGGACGCTCAACCTGCTGTGAGTGGGTCGCTTGGTCCGTAGGAGACGATCGTGTCAGGGGCCCGCGAGTTAAGCGTCGTTGTGTGGCGGCCCCCAGCGTAACCGCGCGCTCCATTGAATCGTGTCTGGGATGCCGTTGGCCAGCGACGACAGGGGAGCCTGGGATCTGGCAAGATGCGATCTACCGTACCTTTTCAGCTCCTCCCGCGGACAAGATGCCCGTGGCTTGGCTTCTTGAACCCTATGCCTACCCTTCCTCCTTCTCTTGCACTCGCACACGAACCAGGCCCGTCCGCTGCTGCGCGACCCAAACTATCCGTGGTGCCAATTCTAAAGTAAATGCTAGCGGCATCGATGGCCTCATGTGCACCCGAGAGCAATAGCCTGCCGTCATGGAGAGAGCACGGCTGAGGAAATGAAGGAGCTGGAGTCTCCTCTCTGGTGGACGGCCCCGCCAGCCAACGGGAACGCATCATCGCATAAGCCCGATAATGCACCTCAGAATCTGGCGTGTTTTGAATCAGGCATCCAAATCCATCTGCTCGCAAAAGCCCTCACCCGCTTGCCATTGCTCTTTTTCCTGGCATAGCGAGAAGGCGCCAGTGGCTGGCTGTCATTCGCGTGGTGGCTCCCCCCGACCAGAACAACCTACATCTCCGACTTACGATCCGCCGTCTGTCCTCTTTCCTTTTCATACCCTCTTTTACTCAGTATATACAGGCCCTCGGCCCGTTTCGCATAGAGTGTTTCACTTAGCCGACATTTCAGCGATTTGGACGTCGATGCTAAGCGCTCAGCCTACATCCTCCCTCACCACCTATATACCAACATTATCCACAGGCGCCAAACCCACCAATCTTGGCCCCCCCAACTGAGCCTCAGTCTCCACAATCCAACACTGTGCTGCCGGTCGGCAACAGCCTGCATAAAACATCGAGGCTTTTTTGTTTGCTGCGGAAATTTCCCAGGCCGGCTCTCCATTCCTTAGGCAGCGTGTGCCTCCCCCGGTCAGCCTCGCCGTAATCCGACATACGCCCTCGAGGACTCGGTTTCAGCATTCTTCTAAACGCTTGACTTCCGCCCACCAATCACTGAATTGTTTTGCCCTGTTTCCTGGACATTCCTCTGACGCGGCCATACACAAGGGCCAGGCTCAAACAATCCAACACATACTTCTGCATGGACTTCTATATTTGACACTCTTGGTCCCATGCAACTCCTCAGACTGAGCCAGGGCTTAGACGCATACGCGCTTCAAAGTTGACAGGCCTTACCGTTATCAGCTTAGATTCTTCCGGTATCGTGGCCATGGACAACACCACGCTCCACACTTTTCTCTTGTATGTCTACCCCCTCTGTGCCTCCTACTTCTGTGCCCGTCGCTCACCCTCGTATCAAGTCACTGCCCGGCCGCACTACGCAGTGTAGTATTGCTTGGATCCTGGGATAACTTTACCCGGTCATATCCACTGGAACTCGACTCACGCGGGGGCCGTAATATATGGAAAGGTTGCTTTACTTTTTCTGACATTATCTGCGACGGAGACCTGACCCAGCAATCACCAAAACGGGACGGACCACTTAAAATGGGTGGCACTTACTGGTACTATGTAGGTTATCTGCTCTGCTAGGAGGCTTCGCAAACTGACAGCAATATAGTACAAGGTTGATGGTGATGAGGAACTGCACAACCCCGCTGAAGAGTCTACAACATTTTGCCCTCTTCTGCCAGGTCAACGCCTCAACGTTCTGGATGTACCTCGTGAAGGACACAGCCGCAGCAATTCTGATACGACTTCCGCTTTTACACGTAATCCCAACGATAGATATCTTACGCCAGTTCCACCTACGCCTCTAAGATCGTATCCTTCTTCACGGCCAGCGGGGACACCAGAGGCATCTACGCTTCCTTTGCCTTCGCCCTGGACCCCGCGGTCTGCAACACATGCACCCATGGATTGTTTCTTGTCGCCGCACACTGTGCGCCATGCGCGAAGCGCATCGGCATCGCCTTACTTGCCTTCTACTCCCATCTTCGCAGACTTCAAGGCCCTGAAAGACAAGCTGGCCTCGAAACGAGCCAACTCGAGAAATCGATGTGGATCGAAACCTAGAGAGTTGGACATCAGCTCACCTGTGCTTGTCAGTGGTGGAGAAGATCTCAACCTCATCCCTTTATCAGTGTATCGTCCATCAGTTGAATCAATACGAGAGGCCCAACCAGAAACCACGCCGCAGCGGTCTTTGCCCTCGTTGAGAAAGAAGTTCTCCCCGTTGGCATCACATCCTGTGGATCCTGATCTGGACTCGGCTTTTGGGCCTGCGGAGCTATCGGCAATAAAGGAGCGCCCCATGCGCAGACGATCGCATGTGCCCTCCTCAATCATCACCAGCGAGTTCCAGGTTGAGCAATCCAGACTTCGTGCCAATTCAGCAGATACACGGCGAACACAGCACTATCTCTTCTCTAACGATCCATGGCTCACCTCGCCCAAGTTGATGCAAAATCCTCAAGAGAAGGACACCGTGGTAGAGGATGACACCCCATCTGCCCCTATCTTATCACGACCCTCTAGCTACCTTGGGGCCCCAACACCAGACGAACGCCCTACATCTAGCCATGGTGAGCGTTCCAACCCAACGTTCCGGAAGTCGCTTCTCGACAAGGAGCTTCCCGCACTTCCTCGCTACCTAATACCCGCACCTCTGTACGCCTGCAACCGTTCCCCAACCACGAACTCCGAAGCCGAACAGTCAGAAGACGAGTTTGAAGAAACAGACGACGAAGAGCGCCTGGACAACCTGAATTTGGATTTGGATTTGCAATTCCAACAAAAAGCCCGCAGCCACTTCTCCACCTGGAGCAACGACTCCATCGGCTACGACTCCCCCACCTTAGACGGCGACGAAATCGTCCTCTCCCCAACCTTCAGCTCCTTCACCAGCAACGATAGCGACACAGATATACCCCAGGGCCTCTTAATCCGCTACTCATACGCGGACCCCACCCCTTCCTCTCCAACCCAACTATCACACCTTCTATCCCAAATCCAGCTCACCACCACCACCACCACCACCCTGTCTTCCCCTTCTACTTCCTCTTCTTCCTCCAACAACGACGAAGAAGAAGAAGATTACAAACAAGACACTCAATCCACCCACCGCATTTCAACCCCACCCCGCCTTTCTGAACTCCGCATCTCAACCTTCGGCTCCGACCTCTTCTCCTCGCCCCCATCCTCCCCACACATTCTCTCCACAACCTCCTCCCGCCGCTCCTCCCGCCGCCAAGCCGCGTGCTTCGGCCTCGGCTTCCAGTACAGTCTGCCCGCTGATGAGACAACGAGCAAGAGTACGCTGGCGGAGAGCGAAGTGACGGTGGAACGCATTATGCACCAGCGCAATATCAGTGTGCATAGGGAGAGTGCGGTTAGTCAGCTTGATGCGTTGATGGAGGACTTTGGGTTCCTCGGTGATGCGGTTATTTGAGTTTGAGTTCCACTTCCCAAGTGGAAATAGCGATGCGCATGCATCTGAGATACTCCTCATTACGACTTTCTCTCAATCTTAACGGCCGATACAATGTTAGAATTTCTGGCTTTTTTTTATTAAATCTGCGGTGCCGCTGCTACTGGCTTACTGGATACCTCGCTGTTCTTTTTTTCTTTTCTACAAGGGCGGCTGTTGAAGCGTTGCGGTTGGTTGCACGCGTGCCCCCCTTTTTTTTGCTGTCTATAGCTTTTTTACTATATATACCATTGACGACCTTTGTTGTTGTTATCGTACAGCGAGATTAGCGGTTGGTGGGTGCAATATAACTTTGGATATTATGCTGTATCTCTTCTTTGCTTTGTGTGTGCTTGGTGAACATGTCGACTTGGTGTTGTTGTGTTGGACTCCCCTTTCACCACCTCAACATTCAATTGCATAACATGTTTCATTTCGTATGACAAGACCTGCCATGTGCTGTTCGACTATACAGCGGCAATTCAATTTTCACCTCGGTAGACAAGTCATAGTCTTCTATTCTCAGCACAAATCCATGTCATTTCCAGTTTTAAGTGTCTATCTGGACCCCTCTATATCTGTTTTCCCAAGAAGAGCCCAGGGAAGCTACCCCCTTCGGCACATTCGCCCATTCCTTGCTGCTCGTAGTAGATTCCGCTTGCGACTTCAACGCAAACATGACATCGTTTATGAGATGGTGTAGTTTTCGGCAACAGACTTTACGTCTTTGGAGAAGCTGATATCTTGGCCCATGGAGAGTAGGGTCACAGACGAGACCTGTAGTCTTATTTAGTATGCTTTTTCTCTTGTGCTTGTTTTCTAGAGGACAAGCATAATGATCGCAATAAAGACTTACATCTACATCCACAAAAGGTGTGCTCTTGCTGAAGCGAATGTTCATGGGGAAGAATTCAGAGTCACTGCCGGCTTGAGCCTCAAACTCAAAGCTGCCGGAGCTGTTCGCCTCGTCGACCGCACCAATGTTCCACTCGATACTATCGCCGCTGACTTCGTAGACAGCATCAAAAGAAGACACGTTAGGCTCGTCCGTCTGGTAAGGGATGGTGACAGTAACGTCCTTGAGCGAGTCGCCACCGGTAAGCTCATACTCGACTGTGATGTTGTACATATTGCCAGAGTCCTCGACCCAGACACGGAATGTGATAGGTGGGTCCGAGATGTCGTCTGGTCGTGGTGCCAGCTTCCACTTCATGACGCCAATACCCATGTTCGATGGGAAACCCTTGCTTGTGTCAGCAAGTTGAATGACCTTGTCGTTCCTGAAGACTGTCTTATCGACTTTGGGATGTGTCATAAGTTGAGCACCGCGAGTGTCTCCTGTGGCCAGGTCCAGCTTGACCTGCGTGAAAGAAGCATCAGTGATCTTGAGTTGCATCTCGCCCTTGACTTCAAATGACTTGAGAAGACCTTCGCGGTCGAGTCTCGCCGAGATGGTCTCGTTGGTGGTAATGTGGACAGGTTCGCGGTCGGTCGAGGTCGATTGGCGTGCGCTTGCTGGGGCTGCAGCAGCGGATGCACTTGGCTTAGGTGCAACAAGCGGCTCCTCTTCAGCTGGCGCGACCTCACCAGTCACTTGCTCGTACATGTTGCTCGTCTTGTTCTTCTTGCCGAGCTGCATACCCTTCTTACCGAGAGCCAATGGCTTGCTCGATGCCTTCTTCTTCTCGGCTTCATACGAGTCGTAGGTGTCGGTAACGTTGGTCGTGGGCACGCTGGGTGTGAAGGTAGGATACGATGGCGATCGACCACCCATTCCACCTCCCATGCCGCCTCCCATACCTCCTCCCATACCTCCTCCCGCTCGCTGCGATCTCGACATCTCCTTGCGCTGCATCTCGAGCTGCTTGGCCCGGCGCTTGCGCTCTTCCGAAGCCTCAAGCTCCTTATTCCGTGCGATGATCTCTTGAATACGCTCCTCGTGTGACTCCATGTCCAAGAAAGTCTTGATCTGGCTCATGGTCAAGTTCTCCCTATATCCCAGTGTGACAATCTCATCAAAGGCCGTCAGAAGCTCGAAAGCGTTTTTGAGGATCTCGCGCTCGTCGACAGACTTGCATATCGAGGAGCAGACCTGGGCGAAGAGGTGCAGAGTGTTGATATCTTGGAGGATGTTGGATTGTAGATTGGTGATCAAGACCATGTAAAGTTCGTCGAGGGGCTGGTAGACGTAGCGCACGTTGTCCTGTTCGCAGGTGGTATGCTGGGTTCCACTGTCGGCGAGCTTGGGGAAAGAAGCGAGGAGAGCCTCAATGCGGGAGCGCTGCATTTCTCGGAATTGGCGTGAGAGGACTGCCTTGCCGCCTCTTGTGCATATTGAAGCCGCGAGGACCACCTGGCTTCGTCAGCTTGGTGCGGGTGAATCAAGGGTCGACTGTCATGTGCCGTGTACAATTGCATACCATTGTGGCTGATTTCTAACTGATTCTGTTGGGAAGAAGGCGGGAGAGGCTGAAAAGTAGTGGTGACTTGGGTGGTAAGGTCGTGGACGTGGAGCCGCGTTGCTGGAGATGGTGGGGAATATTATTGAGACGGACAGTTGTTCAAGACAGCAAGCGTATCTTGAAGGCAGGTTCCAGGAACAAAGTGCAGCAGAGCCAGCCAGAGGTGGTAACAAGACGGGGCAAATTGTCTCTGGGTATTACGAAGGCAGGTTGACAGGTACCGCCTCTAAGGTGCAGCTGCACCCAGGCGCAACACCTGGAGGTTCCAAGTGGACACCTGGAGTCACGTGCACCCGCATTTGCCTAGCGCCGGCTGCCATTGTTAAGTAGCCTCTCCGGCCCATGCCCTCCACTGTAGTCATCACCAGCAACTCTTCAACTGCGAAACCCGCATCTAGGCAGCCTCTCTTGCGCGCTCAAAATTGCGACTCTAAACCGATACGACGGAAATACTGGCCGCCCCGGCTTTTCTGATAGGTTTACACCAAGTGCATGTACTGCTGCCACTTGCCCGCTCCCACCAGTCTTCTTTCCCGTACTAGCGCCAACACCGCTGTGCGCACTTTGTCTCATTTCCACTGTCCTCCTCACCTTCACCCTCACCCAGTCCACATCTTCACGACTACAAAACTATCAGAGACCGCCTCACCATGCGATTCTAGCTTTTATTTGCCACAGTGCACCCACTATCAAGTTTGCATCCCGGTGTTGCGCTTTGTTGCATCGCCACCTTGTGACTTGCACCAAGCTCTGACGCGCTCCCCACGCTCCTTTATCTACGCGTTTCGACCGATACACATACCTAGACTCGCAAACCCCTTTGTCGCCACCCCACAGCTATCATGGCTACTACTACTACTACGCATCCTACGCCTAGTTTCGACATTACTCCAGCCGATGACATGGACTTGCACTCGGACGATGGCATTCTCGGCTACAACGATGGTGACATCGAATTGGATTTAGAGCCTCCCCCTTCATATGGCCCGGATGATGATGTCTCTATCGGCGATGCTGCCTCGGCGAATGGAATGGATGCCCAGACTGCACCCGGCGGTGACAATGATGATTACATGGTCGACCAGGAGGATGTCATCGAAGAGGACTATAGTTACCAAGATCAAGACGTCGATGTGGATGTGGATGTTGACGTCGACGTCGACGCCGACGCCGAACAGCCCGCTGCAACCGACACCATCGCGACTCAGGCGGAAGCCGAAGTTCAAGATGAAGACCTGCTTGACTATTCTGAAGAGGACGATGATTATCACGACACAGCGCTTCGTTCACCCTGGTTACAGCAACATGATTCTATGCAAGATGAACCGGGTCCGGTCCAGGATGCACCTACTCAGCAAGACGAACCTTTTGAGATTCAGAACGTGCCTGCTCAGCAAGATGAACCCTTTGAGACCCATGATGCGCCCGCTCAGCAAAACGAACCGTCACAGGCGCAGGACGCACCAGTCCAACAAGACGAAATACCTGCTGATTTACAAGCTCTAATGTCCACGAACACAAGCAAAAACCCACAGAGCCCACATGCGCACCCTGACGTCGTTGCTGATGGGAGCACGAAAGGCAATAACAATGAGAATTCACCCCGTGCTCGGTCAGCTGATCCCAATGAAGAAGATGCTCAGACTAATGGTGACGATGGTGGCATTACGCTCAAAGACCAAGAAGAGCACTCAAGTGCCGAAAGTGGCCACAATCACATGGAACCTCCGAGCCATGGTCATGATGAATCTGCTCAAGTCGATGAACATGAGGAAGATACCTCTTTTCAGCAACTACCACCTGTCACTGTGAATTGTATGGGCGAAGAGCTATGGCTTTTCAAGCAGCATGACTATGAAAACAGTGGGGATTGGCTCCTTGCTGATGTGTCAGTGGCCAAAACGAGCATGTCAGATCTCTTCCAAACGTGTCGTTCAGCATTGGGCCACGAGGTGCTGAATGGAATGGAGATTGGCTTCCGCTTTGATCACTTTCAAAATATGGAGTTGTTTGAGGAGAACACGGCTTGCGTAGCCATCTCTCTCGAACGCCTCGTGGGCTATTACCATGCGCTCCACGAACAAGATGGTAACAACGATCCAGACTCGTTTTACGTGACTTTGATGTATCGCCCACGCTTCGCTACCTTGCTCGCAGACATAGCAAGATATGCTGACAACGGGCGTGGCTACTCTGGGCTCGAAGCTGCTATCGCTGCAGGCGAGACTAACTTTCACAGTGCACCTCTTGATCTTCCAGTCGAGGAAAACACCAAATGGGACACTGAGGGACAAAAACAGAAGCAGGTCCAGGATCAGGAGCTGCAACATGAGGATGATGAGGGGGACAGCCACGAGAGAGATGCGAGTGAGCAATCACAGGAGGAAGAAGGCTCGGACGCGCAAACGTATGAGGAAGATTCGAATGACGCAAGGCCCGCAGAAGATGCAAACGAGCAAAGCAATGTTGAAAACCAGGCCCTGCAGGACGTCAATATCCAAGTGCATGCAGGAGAGCAACTTGAGCCAGAGGATCAAGACAATCAAGATGAACAGACTTACGCAGCAGTTGAGCCCCAGCAAGATCCTGGCCAGGAGTATGGCCATGATGAGGATGGCACGCAAGACTCTATCGAGAAAGGGGGTGTTGAGGTTGGCGAAAACGCAGAGGCTGCGACTGAAAACATGTCTACCGGAGGCCATGAAGAGGATGACGATGTGAATCACGTACCACAACCTCCTAGTTCTAGTGAAGTCTCTACAAACACACAGAGGGTTGAAGGCTACCCTGGACAGACACACTCACAGTCTGATGAGCAGACTGCAGCGGAACTGGAGGCCCGTCGCTTGCAAGAGGAAGGCGACATTATCGATTACAGCGATGGAGAGGACGAGGAGTCCGCTGCTGTCGAGGAGGTTGAAGAAGCACCTCATACTGAGCCATCGCCCTCGCCCGCTACTGTGCAAGGCGACGAAACATCCAATGCGGAGAGGCAGTCACCTGCTGCAGGATCGCCAAGTATTGGCAAGCAATCAAACGGAGACGAGGACCAAGGCAGTTTCGACACTACAAATGACCCTAACGTCAACGCCGAGCAGGACTTTGACAACGATCCCAATGAATACTGGGAATACGATGAAGCCCTTGAAGCCCTTGAAGAAGTCGATCCTGATGAGTCGCAATCGGATGAAGTCCAAAATGACACCACCAACTTTGAGTTTGATGGCGATGCTAACCAAGACTATGGCGACTATGAATACCAGGACTTGGAGCAACAAGCAGAGGTGGAATTCACGAATGGAGAAGATGTTGATGGTGAAAACACTGCAACGGATGGCGATTACTCAATGAGCGCGAATGATGTCTTGAATGTGCACAATGCGCAGTGGACTGTCGCCCAGGGCCTAGCCCAAGACGTTGTGGAGACGACGACAGGAGATGAAGACGACAATGTCGAGGCTCAAGACGAAGAGGATGGCGTCGCTGGACAGCTCGGCAGTGCAACGTCTTCGGCTGCAGATCCTACGACGGCCTCGTCTACTGACGCCCATGATGTGTCTTCACAAGGACACAAGCGATCTATCGACGAGGCTGGACATGGAGTGGACATTGCATCCGACTCTATAGGTACGGTGATGGCCTGGTTACCTTTGAAGCGAAACGCAAACGCTGACTTTGTACATGTAGACGCCAAACGCGCGCGAGTGTGAAGGCGGCCCGTCCTCTGAGTCTTCGGGTCTTCAGACATACTAACAAGCAGCTATATGGACATGCCGCACTGGAATTTACCCAAGTTTGAACTAATACAAGTGTACACTAACTGTAGGACCGATATTACAACGCACGAGATTTTGAGATTTTTTTTTCTGGCTTTGGCGAGGGGCAAAAGGTAAGAGGGAAGGTAATCTCTGGCGATTTTCCTTTGTTATACCCCGGCACCACCTTCCTGGATAGTGATTTTCGCATTGGTTTTGGTTGGTTGGCGATTGATTTGTAGTGCGAATAACGACTGAGGTGACGTTGTTTGCATGGTCGTTTAGTGCTTGATGGGGTGAAGGGGAACAGAGGGGGCGAGGCAGTTTGAGCGATATACCCAAGTGCTTCGAAGCACTTTTGCTTTTTCCCAATGTAGTCATAGGGATGTAGAGACACGATGAGGCTCTCAATGGAAGACTGCAAAGCTAATGTGAGCTTGGGACTATTTGCAGCTTTGTGACGATTGCTCAGCGTGGCCTAAGAAATTAGGATCCTGTTGCAGGCGATGATGACACGAATGGTTCTAGGCTCTCCATATTTTCTGACCAGGTTGTGGGGAAGAGGGTTACGAGGCCTGCTATTTCGGGGCGACTAAAGACGGCATGACGAGGCGCAGTTTTTTTTTAAACATTACCGACAGCCTCAGCTAGCCACGTGGTGGAGAAGCGTACGAGGCTGTATGCCAGGATGAGAGTATGCGCGTTGACTCAAGGCCAAGGAGTCTGGAAATTCAGAGGCAGATTAATCGTTCGGCGTCTTGTTGGTAGTAGAGTAGAGTAGAGTAGGACGACATTGCAGGAGACAGAGGCCGCGTCGACTGCGTAACGAGGGGATCGGCAAGCCATGACCTTGGCGTTGAGTGAATCGGCCGTGAAACGTTGGGGCGGGCTGACTCTGGCGCGCCGGGGGACTCGCAGAGCGTGGCACGCCACCTGGGTACGATGGCGGCAGACAAGGCAAGGCAAGGCCCGACAAGTGTTTCTCCTTGTTCGCGCAGATTGTCCATGTCCAGCCTGTCCAGCCGGACCAATACTACATATGGCCACACTCGCATACGCACACACTTTCTGGCTTTGACACCACGCTCGCTTGTTGTTTTCTTTTTCTGGCCTGATGCTGCTCCTCATGTACTACTATTCTCTCTATTTGTACCACTACTAACCACTCCCATTACCACGACTGTAACGACTTGGCCTGCTGCCTTCATCGCATCTGTGTTCGTTTCGTCCGCTCGTTTCTAAGACGCCTTTGCTCGACACGACACAGACAAGCACAGGGTCCTTGGCCGTGCTTTGGTGAAACACGCAGCGCCTCTGCGCAAGCATTCCCGACCCAGACTGCATCGTTGCTGCTGCAGCGTCGCCTCCTCAGCACCATCTGCACACGCCATTACCAATAGCGCAATACGGTAGCCGCCGCGTTGCTCTGTTCGGCACTCCAGGCCACGATACGGAGGCCTATCGATAACCCGCCTGCGCCCACACTGCACGTCTGCGTCTAGCCCGCCGCCACGCCACGCTGCGCTCCCCAACCCACCCTAACGTTGGACCCCGTACACAGCAGCTTCCACCGCGCACACACACCCTTACACACACCTCTTCGTCTCCAGTCTTGCACCGCGACCCGTCCACTCCTCCCTCCATCATCTGGTTGCGATTCCGCTGAGACAGGTCGCATAGACCTCTACACGGCGCCATCATGGTGGAAGACAAGTACGTTATGCGCCCGCACCGCCCAGCTACCAGCAACGGGCCACTGACTGTAACGCCAGATACATAGGGCTCATGCTGGCCATGAGTTCGTCCCTGGCCATCGGCGCGAGTTTTGTAATTACCAAGAAGGGTCTCAATGCCTCCATCGAGAAGCATGGTTTCGACGGAGACGGCTTTGGATATCTCCAGAACCCCGTGTGGTGGGCAGGCATCATCACAAGTGAGTGCGCCTACATCGCGACACGCTGCCACTCCCCTTTGCAGCGCTGACTTGCTTTACAGTGGTACTCGGCGAAATATTCAATTTCGCTGCATATGCCTTCGCCCCCGCCATCCTCGTGACCCCCCTCGGAGCTCTCTCCGTCCTCATTGGTGCTGTCCTCGGCTCGTACTTTTTGGACGAACAATTGGGTCGTTTGGGAAAGATTGGCTGCGCAATATGTCTGATCGGCTCCGTCATCATTGTGCTACACGCGCCGCCGGACAAGGAAGTTCAGTCGGTCGAGGAGATTCTGGACCTTGCTCTACAGCCTGGTACGCCCGTCCCAGCTTATCATATGCCTTTGTACAGCAGCGACTAACAAGGCATGACTACAGGCTTCCTCTTCTACTGCGCCTTCTGCGTCGTCTTCTGCGTCTTCATGATCTACAAGATCGCGCCCAAGTACGGTCGCAAGAACCCCCTCATCTACCTTTCCATCTGCTCCACCTCCGGTTCCGTTTCCATCATGTTCATCAAGGCTTTCGGTATTGCGCTTAAGATGACATTTGCGGGCAACAACCAGTTCACGCATCCTTCGACATACGTCTTCGTCATCTTGGTAGTGGGGTGCATCCTCACTCAGATGAACTACTTCAACAAGGCGCTGAGCCAGTTTTCCACAAACATGTACGTTTTCATGTTGCAGGCTCCGTCCATATGTGCTAACTTTTGCGACTCAGCGTAAACCCCCTCTACTATGTTACTTTTACGACCTGTACACTTGTTGCTTCGTGTCTTTTGTTCCAAGGCTTCAACACCACGTCTGCTGTCAACACTATTTCTCTCCTTTGTGGTTTTCTTATTATCTTTTCTGGTGTATACCTTCTCAACCTATCGCGCGAAGACCCCTGCGCCGATCCAGCACTTGGCTCTCGATTCGACGGTCCGCCATCTGATGCCATCTCTGGTTTCCCTACAAGACGCAGTATGCAATCGCGACGCAGCGGAGATCCTTACGAACACCAGTCGAATGGCGTTATCCGAAATAGCAGGTCTAGCTATGCAGATGCAGGTGACAGAAGCGCACTGATGCACGATTACGATGCTGAGAACCAGTTCGAGCTGGGTGATCTTGCCGGTGATAGCGATGACGATCTGGAGAGCGGTCGCAACACAAAGCGACCCAGCTTTGATGAGGAGACGCGGCTGAGTGGCAGACTCAGTGGGACAGGCAGAGGGCGGGTACAGAAAGAGTCTCTGCAACCAAAGAGGAATCATTCAGCGCGTCGATAGAAGGAGTCAGAAAACGATGAGAGTGTGTGCATAGAGAGTTTTGCTATTCTGGGTCGTCCATGGGTATATCTTGCCCGCTTCGTGACTTGGGAATTAGATGTGGTTTGTGCAACACATTGCACCGCACAGTGGCGTTTACGGCTCTTGTTGTAGTATGGGTTTGAAGGATTGGGAGATGGCCCCCGAGATAAAGGTGCCGGCCACTTGTATTTGTACTACGATAGCATGACATGGATACCCAGAGAAATCCCGGCGATTATGCTGGGTATCATTTCTCCACAGATGAATATCAGACATTCATATTCCGAATCATCAAGACGCGTACGTTTATGCAACCATGAAGCTGAGGCAGCCAGATGGGGATTGTGGCTACTGTGTCAAAGTGCCAACTACCAGAATATTGCCCCGCGTCTTTGGCATGACAAGGCACGAGTAATCTGCGAACGTGATAGCGCGACTGCGCTAGTCATGTTTGGACTAGAACGCGCTTCTACAAACAAATCATAAGCACTGAATACACACCCCCAACTTCTTGCCCTTTCACACAACGGCCCTCGAGGCCAGCAAATCAGCAATTATGGCGACTGCAAACTCATCCAAAGAACACCAGCTTTTGCAGCAGGCGGAAAAGACCCTATTACATCCAATTCACCCGCATCTGATATCCTACTGCCCTAGCATGGATCTTGTTGCAGTAGTCACGGATGAAGAGAATCTAGATGTCTACAGAATCAACGGCCAAAGGGCTTTTGGTCTGAAGAGAAAGAGCGAGGGTGTGTGCGTCGATGCAATGCAGTGGGAATTTAACGGCAAAAGTATCGCTGTTAGTTGGAGCGATGGGAGCACAGACTTGATCAGTGCAGAAACAGGCAAGGTTACGCACAAAGATGTCATGCTACCGGATGTCGAAGAAGGAAATGGTAGCATGACGGAAGAAGCTCCAGCACGGGTCAAGTGTATAGGCTGGGGTCTGAACTTCATCAATGTCGATGCTGTCAAAAAGAGGACAGGGTTGATGTCAAAGACGAATGGCGCCACATCTGAGAAGACTGATGCATTTGAGAACCCTACAACCGAAGATTGGGATGCTTTCAAGGATGACATAACGTTGGAGGATTTCCTGCAACGACAGCCTGATTTCCAAACTTTGGATATTGCACCCGACCTGCCAGATCAACTTGCGATGATGGACACGGACGCGCTATTACCCAAACTTCCTGCGATACCACTCCCACCAGCACTACCGTTTATGCGCATATCGCAGGCAGATTCCGGTGCGTTTGGTTCTCAAGCCGAGGTGGATTCGTTGCTGCATTCACATCACTTGAAGGACCATAACTCTGTGGACATGTTCATCCGTTTGTCTGACCGAGGGACCGTACATCCGTCAATATACGATTCGCTAGAAACGGTCAACGTCCAACTACCGAAGGCATGGAACACACTACATATGCCGCTATTACACACAAGCCATCCATATAGCTGTACCCACAGCCTTTTGATGCGGACAATCTCTGCTGCCTCGCCAGCAAGAAAGAGTATCGCCTTTGTTCCGCTCACGCTAAACTTCATCCCTACCGCGGGAATCTACCTCCACCTCATAGCCGCAAAAACCTCGCAGCTACAGAACCTCCTTCTTTATATCACGCAAACCTTGCAACGGGTCAGAGCTTTCTTTAAACACGCGCAAGATTTGCCGCGAAAGTTTATGATGAACATAAGCGAAACACTCGAAGAGAAAGAGTTGGGCGACCTAGTCACGAATCTGTTCCACATAGCCTGTACAGGGAGTTGTAACCCTACAATGAAAGAATGGTTGGTCGACGAGCTAGCAGAAGCAGGCCATAAGCGTTGGGACACGACTGTCACATCGTCCTTTACAACACTTCTTGCCCTTCTTCACGAGAACCTCATCCCGGCGTTGGACCGCTGCTCCATTGTCATATCACGTTTGCGCGGTCTCGCGCAGTTTCATGATCGAGACTGGATTTTCAGCGGACACATCACCGACTTCTCAGCCCTTTTAGAAACGCTCAAAAATATGAGGCTGCTCGCTCATACCGCCATGCTCTATGCGACGGAAGAGAAGCGCCAATTTTACAGCTTCAGCAAGTGGCTGCGCTTCACTATTGATTTCCAGGCTACGGAGCCGGAATCTCAATCGCGCGTAGAAATGGAACAACGGGATCCGGGAGTCGACGTATCACAGGTCCTTGCGTATATCCAGTATGGCCTCACCAAATCTGATGTTGCTCTCTACTTGGGGCCGGAAGCTCAGTTGGATCCCAAAAGTCGAGAGAAGGAGGCAGCAAGTTATGAAGACACAAAGAGGGCAATTGCGTTGCTGAAAGAAGGCGCAACATTCAAGGAAGAGGCCCTGTGTTTGGAACATGTACTGCGACATTTGGCAACCGGCGTGACTGGCTTGCTGAAACAGGTGAGCAAATGGCAGCAGGCCAATATCCAAATGGACTCGGGCCTTGTCCTCGAAGACATGGGAGCTGAAGATGAGGAATCGAATATTGTGGCGGATATTCGAATGGTATCTGAAGTAAGGAGAATATCCCCCAAGTCCAACTTCTCCTATGATACTAACATCTAAAGAAGCCTTCTCAAGAAACCTTCTGTGACACCGTATCGACATACATCCTCTTCTCATCAAAATCCACACCAGCCCACCTGCACATCCACCGCCTCGCCCACGCCCAGAGTATATCCCACCTAGCTCGCGATCTCCACTCCCACGCCATATCCACACTGGACTTCAGCACCGGAGAGGCATCTTCAACCAAGATCCTCGACGCCAAATTCGCGGATGACGAAAACTTGCTTGTCCTCTTGCAACTCTCACCGTCAAATGGCGACCGCAAAAAACACTCCAAACCAACCAACGTTATCGTCTCTCTGCCTTATACACACACTACCGTGCCATCTGTGCACAAGCAGCCGCACCAGCAACAGCACCAAAAAGAACAGCTGATATCATTCACGTCCCCTACCTCCCCTGCTTCGGTCCCCTCTTGCCTCCTTCCTCAAGGCAAACCCGTGGCGCATTCCTCTCGACACACTATCCATGTGACCCCCGAAGACGTAGAAAAGCACACACGCCACGTCTTTGAAGGCCGCTTTACGCCGCTCAAGTTGGTGGTAAACGGGCGAAAGGACAGGAGGGTAATTGTGGTTTTGGGAAGCGACAGGAAGCACTATAGGATCTTGGATATGGATTACAGTGTCAAGAAGAAGAGGAGGAAGAGCAAGGCTAGTGCAGATGTAGAGCAGGACGACGACGACAGTGGTAGTGATCAGGATGGACACCAGGGATACATAAGTCAACATGTAGATGGAGACGTCGAAATGGGTGGGGCATAGTGCTGTCATGTCAATTTGTTACACATTTGGTACCACCAAACCAAGCCTCAATAATCACATCAAGCACACACTTTCAAAAGTACAGACCAGATGCATTTTTATCGGAATCACATTCCCTAAAGAACCTATCATGTATGCAAGCCACAGTAGGGAAAAGCCTAGCTTGCCGACAAGTTTCCATTTCGTTATAACGCCCGGCCACCCGCACAGAGAGGTATGGAGAGAATAACCGACCGCATCATCGTCGTTCCTGTCGTTGAAAAACGCCACCACATCACAGAAAACCACTCTAGTCCTTTGTCTTCTGAGTACCACGGAGCAGACCTGTCCTCCGCGCGGCAATGAGACCGGCCTTTTGACCCTGGGTGGCGTATCTGGAGATGGTCGAGGCTTTACCGATATGCTGGTGGTTACCACCACCGTGGGGATGGTCGACGGGGTTCATGGCAACACCACGAGTCTTGGGCCAGCTGTTGCGCTTGGCAGCGAACTATGTTTTGTTAGCAACAAAACTCATCAACTCGACCAGGATAAAGCGTACCTTGTGCTTGGCACGCGACGCCTTCATGAGAGGCTTGTCTGTACGGCCACCTCCAGCGACGATACCGACCATACCACGGCATGAGCTGGGAAGAACCTTCTTGGCACCGGATGGGAGCTTGACACGGGTCTTGCCCTCATCAGGGTTGTGGCCAATGACAGTAACGTAGTTACCGGAGGTACGGCCGAGCGCACCACGGTCACCGTTCTTGTCTTCGACGTTGGTGAGGACGGTACCTTCGGGGACGGAGTGGAGGGGAAGGACGTTGCCGATGGTGAGAGCAGCGTTCTTTCCGGCGTAGATGAACTTGGGTGAATGTCAGTCTGCTGTTCTCCCCCCGCGCATGATTCCATGTGGAAATTTCCAAAATACTGACCTGGCCGGTGTACATTCCCTCGTTGGCGATGAAGGTCTCGGTGTCATGCTTGAACTTGTATGGGTTGCGGAAAGAAACCCTGGCAAGAGGAGCGCCTGTTCAAAAATTGGTCAATTGGAGTCCTGAATTCTGCATTCTGGCACTAGCTACTCACCACGACCAGAGTCGTGGACGATCTCCTTTACGACACCCCGGATGTATCCATTGCGCTCAGCCTGTGCCCGTTAGCCCTCCGTTCCCAGTATATACGTATCCAATTTTGCCATAGGTCGCGGGCGGCGGAACATACGTAGTCGAGCGTGCGGAACTGGGCGGGGTTCTTGTTCAGGCGGGTGTTGGCCGTGAAGATGGATCCGCGACCCTTACGCTGGTTGCGAATTACCCTACCCATGGCGACGGTGTTGTTGTGAGTAGGAGGTTGTCGTGGGAAATCTCAAAGTCGTCAATGAGCGAGAAACCAAAGTGTGTAGATCCGCTTAGCAAGCCGTTTTGGAACTAGCGTCCACACGGACCTCCAACTCTCGCCTTGCGCATTTGCGCCGCCATGACCGAACATCAGAACATTAAAATAACGGTGCGCCTTTACTGGGTTATTTTTGTCACAAAGGATTCACCGGGTAGATTTAGGTTGAAGAGTTCTCGAGAGGGATATCTCGGTGAACTGCATGGCCGTCATGCTATCTGTGTTTGCAATCAACACAGCGAGAGTCGGGCTATCTCACTGTTGACTTTGGCTGAAATGCAATCTTCAGCTAGTAAGCTGCTGCTCTGAATCCTTGTTTTCATAGGCAGAGCTGATTGTCATTGCGACTGCTCTACTTTCTTCAAAGCCTGCGAAGACGTTATGTTACTGCAGGTATCGACGCATTGCTATATTGTGCAAGCCAGTATGGTGATGATATTGCCACACCCGTTCCTGTTTCTCTTGCAAATACAGTCCTATGGCTTTCGATTGTAAGATTTCAGTATTGATGAGCGTAAGTTACTAATTGTAGCCTTAGACGCGGCAGTGCTCAGCGAAAAGAGTCATGTTAGACTGCTCGTGTTGCTCGAAATTGTTGCTATCGCAACATCCTGCAGAGTGACAATGAACGATTTCTGTAATAAATCACTATATGTAGCAGCGATGGAAATTACAGATCTATTTTCGTGCTGCTCAGGAGCTCAGTAGTGTGAGAATAGCCAGCCCTTGAAGACCACCATGACTAGAGTTCCGCACCGCCAACACACTGCCCAATTTTTCACTTACAGTTCTTCTAACCAGTATTAAATTGGATATGGCTCAGGAGGTTGAAGGTGTTGATGCACCAAATGAGGATTATTTTTGGGTTCTGTCATTACTCGACGATCAGACCATGTACTATACATACTGCTTGGTGGCGCGTCTGCCATTGCCCCAAACAAGAGATCTGTACAACCACGACGAGAAGGACTTTCACCTTACCATTGCAAAAACGCATTTAACCAGTGTTAATCTGAACCAAAACCAGCCCCAGATTCCGCAACAATGAAACTGTTGAGGTTGTGTCGTGTTGACGACGGATGACACGGCGGCACAAACAACCCCCCTGTTGGATTTATATGAGCCGCCCTGTCCCGAAATCCTTTCTACCAAGACTCTATATGTGGTCTCAATTAAGCAAATGGCAACAAAAAGAACCTATTTAGCCCCGCCACGTGATTTCATGATGTCTATAAGAACCATTGTATATTAAACTTAAGCAATTTTTAACTTTAGAAGATTTTTCTTTATGAGGATGATCTGACCCGATGCCCGTACTTGCTTGGCAAAACGTCTGCCATGAAACCGTTAGAAGATGTGTGTGTCTTAATATTTGCCCGACAAACCATCCTGCCACCGGCTGTTCAGCCAGCCAACCAACCTAGGCTTGTTTAGTAACAATGCCACATCTCCGCCCACCGCCGCCGACATCCGAGCCGGCGTTCTCTGCGGTAATTGGAGTCTAGCTGTCACTAAGAATACATGCTTTTGTGAAACTTGAAAAAAAACCGGATCAGGTAAGAAAAAGTCACTGTTATCACGATAAGAAAAGCACAAAAGAAGTAGGCCAAGTAATTTTTTGGTTCATAACCGGCATTGCCATTGCCATCCAGACAAGACGAAGCAAGACAATATATTCAGGTCCCGTTTCTACAAGAAACGGAGGCAAAAGTATGTACAAGTCAGGGTGTGTCAAGGCCCTGACAAATCAAGAAGAAGAATAAACACTAAACCAATCGAGCAACAACAAGAGCACCCATAAGTCAACCCCTTACAAAGCCCTTGGCTATCTGTTTCTCTCCAGGAGAGATGATGATTGCGCAAGCCTTTGTTTCACAATCCTCCAACCTCTGGTTCATTCCGAAAAGAACGGACCCACAATTTAAGCAGAGGAGACAGTGTACTGGGACTTGCCAGCAGCGTTGCCCCAGCCCTCAGTAGAGATGGTCTGGTAGTCCATCTGGTTACCAAGGGTCATGCCGAGCTTGGCCCAGGCGTCGAAGTGGCACTTGGTGGTGATGGTACCGCCGTTGGAGCGCTTGTTGACGCGGTTGCTGATGTACTGGACGAAGGTGGTCGTGCCGACGATGGAGGGCTGGTTCACCTGGGTGTGCTTCCAGATGTCGTAGACGGAGCCGTCGCAGGTGACTTGGCCCATCTTCTGGCCCTGAGCGGAGCCAGAGCCGCCAGAGGTGAAGTCTTGGATATAGTACTCGACGAGCTTGCTGCCTTTGGTCCAACCGTAGAGAGCAACGAGGACGGTGCCGGACTGGGCAGTGGTGGAACCAGAGTACTTGACGGTCCTAAAGGAGCGGGGTTAGTATTGACTGAATTGGGTCTAGAACAAGTGCGGGCCTTACCTGGTGGTACCTTGCCTCCAGCCCTTGCCAAGGACGAAGTCCTGGGCGCCAGAGAAGGTGACGGAGTAACCGTTGTTGGTGGGGTTGTACTGAATGTTACCACCAGTCTTGTAGTTCTGGTTGTAGTCCTGGCGGGCAGCCAAGTGCTTGGGGGTAGCGGAGAGCTCGAAGTCAGGGACATCGGCAACGGGGGCGGCGAAGGCAGAGCCGATGGCGGAGAGGCCGAGGAGGACAGAGGTGAAGGCAACCATTTTGATAGATTGAAGTTTGTTTGTTGGTGTTTGTGAAAAGAAGCTGGTTCTCGCTAGGAGTGAATTGGAAAGAGAGTGAGTGAAGTAAAGACTGCTTGAGTGTTGAAGATGAAAGGCTTGGTGGTGAGCTTATTTGGTCTTGGAAGTCTTGACCTATATACTCAAAGACGGTTAAAGAGCTTGGGTGCACACCGCAGGAAACATATTGCGGTTGTTTCATCCGTTGCCTTGATGGGCCTTTCCTCCCTGTGTCATGGGGCCACCTCACGCCCCTCGTTGCCCATGGATGAATCGTCTGAATCGGTCTACACTAGTGTCTTGATCAATTCGTATCCAATGAGCGCAATCGGTCCTGCCCCTGGCCGTAATACTATCCCGCATTTCAAGGCGCGTGCCAAGTCGCCATCCTGACAGTTAATCAAGCTCCATCACGGCGGTGGATCCTTCATATAGACTTTTGTGGGGAAGCAGCGCGGTGAGTGGTCTAGCAATGCAGGGATCGTCGTGCTTATTTACCTCGGCAAAAGGCTTGGGCAAGGCTTGGATCGCTTGTGTTTCCTTGTCGATGAAAAGGATGTACCGGTGGGTATAGTGTTATGCACTGACAGGTTGTTTGTAAATGAAATATGGACGCGTGTGGTTTGAGCTAAGTGGCAGTGCGTCATGCGTCCCTATGCCATTGCGCTGGAACGGGAGACCCGTAGCGCAACCTTCTCGGTACTTCACCGGCCTACCTAAGATACTACAATATGTTCACCATCCGTGCCCTGTGACTACGGCTATTCGAAATACAGTGCGTAAACCGGTTGACAGTACTGGCGTCTGGTCAGGTAGATGGCTAAAAACCGTCGGCCCTGTTAGAGTACAAAATGTAGTTAGTAGTCGCATGTAGCCTTGGCTGTAACAGGACAATGCAATCAGGCGCTCTTTGCCATTCATCAGTCACTGCGCCTCCTCCCTCGAGGCAATAACCCAATGCGCCTGTAGACAATTCTCATACATTGGCCAGTATTCTTTTCATGTTTCTCAAACACTGCGGGCACTTGTGGATATGGAAACATTGATACGCCACAAGCTATGATGCTTCCAGAATATAGTACTACATGAATCGCGCTCGGCACCCAACGCCCTAAGCTGACTAGCATTATCGATGAAAGCTGTAACAGAACCTAAATACGGATCTCTACTTCCTAATACCGGCGGGATAATCGGTTTCAGTGATCGAATTTGGGTAGACACAGCCGTAGGGCGGTCGGATGTGTGTAAATCGTTTGACACGCGTGAAACTAGAACTTCCCCACTCTCCAAATATCGCTAATTTCCGACGTTCTTCTCGAATCTGTTTGCCGCTTGTGCCTAAGCTCCTTAAGGGGCCGATTCGTGTGTTCCAGACTCTACGCCATCTTTTCAACTGTCGCCAGTACGGATTTACGGACGTCTACTCTCTAGTCTGTGATGAATCTGAAGCAAATGTATTGAAAAGTCCCGCGGCTACGACGTAACCGATGACATCGATCTAATAGGCTAATCCGCAACGACGCCGTGAAACTGCCACGAAAGCCCTGGGCAAATATTGCCTGATATATGCAAGCATAATGAATATGCATAAAGAACTGAAAACTCCGACTATGCTGGCTATTTGCCAACAGCCTATTGAAGAGAAACGCCACGATGAACAACGCAAGCCTCCATCTATCTTTCGCCAAACCCCGTTTTACCGCCGCGTACCCTCGATAGCCTTCTCCAAGCCAACGATCCTCAAGCTCTTCCCCCTCCCGAGCTTTCCGCTCATGAGACCCGCTGCGGGAATAAGTTTGTCGTCCCAGTGACGGAACAGAACCTTCATATCGCGGGGAACACCTTCTAGTACAACCGTGGTGACGGGCATAAATGGGCGGTCTTCTTCCGAGACGGCGAGCATACCATACGCTTGCGCAAACATCAGAGCAGTGGAAAATGCAGGCGCTTGAGTGCGGGACAAAGGGCCGACAATACTGCTACATGTTAACGTCCATCGGCATATATGATATCCATGTCACGGCTGACAGGCAAAAATACGGTGACTTACATGTACATCTCAAAGAAGGCATCAAGTACATAGATGTTTTCCGGCTCCAGGTCTCTCTGCGAGAAAGGCATGATCTCTTTGATCTCCGTCTTGATAGTACTCTGAGGTGACTTGGGCGTGAGTGGCGTCTGTGGCCTTTGTTCAGCAGCGTTCCAAGACGGTCTTCGTAGCAGCGGCGCGAAAAAAGAGCTGCTCACCTGGAGTGCTTGGCCCCAGCCTGCCTGTTGGCTGGTCGTTTGTTCGATCTTGTAGAGACGCGCC